ACCCACCAGCTCTACAGAGCGGAATGCTGGCATGCAGTCAAAACGGCATCAGGCTTCTCTCCCAACTTCTTCGACTGGTGGACCACACGCCCACATCGCTACCAGGACTCTCCCATCACCCTGCCCCATTTCTGCCCAACCTTGGCACACATGGAAGCCATCTACTTCGACTTCCAGGCCAACTTCCGGTCTCTCGAGAGTTGGAATCTCAGGCAGAAACGGAAATGCGCTAGAGCCAAAGTCCAACAATTCCAGCACCTCGCCTTCAAATCCATCAAGCCCACTGCAAAGCCAGCTATAGACTGGCTCACCTCCACCACGTCGGCTAACATCATAGCCGTGTCCGATGAAGGAACCCAAATCCTTACGGATCAGGACATCAGCCTTGGTCACCTCAACACCTGCCACATCAACGACACACCAGCACTCCTTCACCGACTCGACACCTGTACCTACCAGGTGGACGATACTGACCTCCTCATCTTCCCCGGGCAATCGGTCCACTGTGAGCAGCACCTCACCCTAGACGACGAGATTCACCAAGAACTCGTCAACTACTGGACGCCGCGGTGGAACACCCTTTCTGAACTCCCACCTGAAGCCTGGGCCAGAATCACTGCTTTCATCCGAGCCTACGTCCCGGCAGGTAGTCTCACGCTACCTGAACTACAGCCTCAGACCTGGGAAACAGCTCTCAACCGCTTTGGGGACCGCTCAGCTAGAGGACCAGATGGACTCAACGCCGCGGACCTCAAAGCCATGCCTCGCACCTTCAAGAACGCGCTCCTCGATCACTTCAAGGGCATTGAAGCAGGTGCTCCATGGCCAGAACAACTCCTTCAAGGTCTCGCTAGTGGGATCGCCAAAGTAGAAGATGCTGACAAAGCAGATCAATTCAGGCCCATCGTTGTACTCAGCATGGCGTACAGGGCATGGTCCTCTACCAGATCACGCCAGGCCCTAGAAGTGTTGGAGCCACTACTGGATTTCCCAGCTTTCGGCTTCCTTCCCACCAGAAAAACCCGGCAGCTCTGGCTCCCACTACAAGGCCTTATAGAGTTGTCCGCGCAGCGCAACCAGCCCCTACTCGGCCACGTGGCAGACATCTGCAAGGCGTTCAACTGTCTACCCAGACGTCACGTCCAAGCCATCGCTCTACACGTTGGGCTTCCCAACAGCCTTGTTGATGCCTGGCATCGCTTTCTTGGCGACCTTCAACGGCACTTTCGGGTTCGAGGCACTGTTGGACCACCCATACCGTGCAACAACGGATATCCTGAAGGTTGTGGCATGAGCTGCCTGGCGATGGTACTCACTAGCTGGTGCTACCACACCTACCAATCCGTCTATGCGCCCAAATCCATCGCACTGTCCTATGTCGACAACCTTATGGAGGTCACCCAAGAATCCTTCATGGAGCTCTTCCAGCTGGCCACCGACCACAACAAGACCTATGCCTGGGCCCTCCAAGCTCGCGACAGGCAGTTTTTACAACAGCTACGACTGGACGTGGTTGGCACTGCCAAAGATCTTGGTGGTCTCATGACCTATGGTCGGCAACGCAGAACAGCCAGTCATGATGACCTCCTACGACGAGTCCAACCTTGTTGGTCCCAACTACAAAGGGCCAACTCTCCAACCAGATGCAAACAACTGGTCATCTACCAAGCCCTTTGGCCACGGATTTTCCACTCTGCCTCCATCTCCGACCTGGGTACAGCGCACATCAAGCAGCTCCGCACCAAGGCCGTCAGGGCATTGGGCCATGGGAGAGCGGGTGCAGCACCGGCCATCCGGCTTGGACTACTGTCCCACAGAACACTCCTCGACCCTGGCTTCTATCAGCTCTGGACCATCCTCCAAGACTTCAAGCGAGTCCTCAGCAAGACCGCCTCTATGCTCACGCACTGGCAACAGTACATGGCGGCCTACGATGGCACTCTGGGAGCAGGACCTTTTTCGACCATCCTTCGACAACTACATCAGGTTGATTGGAAAGTTGCAGACCCACCCATCATCGTTGACCACGACGACATTGCCCACAACCTTCTCCACATACCACACCAACACCTTTTCCGCCTACTCGAGGACGGATGGCATCAATTTCTTGCCAGGAGTCTCGCCCAACGCAAGGACTATGCAGACCTTACTGGCGTCAATGGTGGTCTTTGCCAGACCTCCATCAAGGGGCTCAACGCACAGAACGTTGCCACGGTCAACTCCCAGCGAGAAGGAGCCTTCTTCACTGCGAGTGCTCACAAGAAATTCGACAACCTCTGTGCAGGTACCTGCCGGCACTGTGGAGCTGAAGACACAATCACTCACAGATGCCTCCACTGCCCCGCACTGGAAACATTACGACACGAACATCAGGCTGCCGTTCAACTTTGGCACGATTCCCCAGTGTGTCTACGTGAACGGCTTCTACCACCTCGGAACCCATTTTACGCGGACCTCAAGAAAATGCTCTACGACATCCCCAGCCATTGTGAGAATTTTGCCTTCCTCGCTGAGGGTCCCGATGAAGTGCATATTTTCACTGACGGCTCATGCACCTGCCCTACCTCCTCGGTTACCCCACTGGCAGCCTGGTCCTCTATATCAGCAACGCATGGCAGGACCATCGCTTCGGCTCCACTTGGTGGCCTTCCTCAATCCAACAACCGGGCAGAACTGCAGGCGGTCATTGCCTCGATACAATGGCTACTTCACTGCAAACTGCGAGGACATGTCTGGTCGGACTCGTCCTATGTGGTAAGGGGCACTTGGCGCCTCCTGGATGACCCCTCGGACTATCCTCGCACCAACCACGATCTATGGCAGTGCCTGCGGGACGCCTGTGATCTTCTCCAACCCGGCCAACTTCGCATTCACCACGTCGCTAGTCATCGCGAACCCGAAGACTGCGACGATCCGGTGGACGCATGGTCAGCCTACTGGAATGGCCAAGCAGATGAGCTCGCCAAATTCACGAACCAGACCCGCGACTTCGCCTTCGCTGGCCTCTGGAACCAGTACCAGGCAGCTGAGAATGACATGGCTACCCGCCTACGCCTTCTCACGAAGCTACACCTTGCAGTAGCTGAACGTTTTCGACTTCCTCCAGAACTTGCTGCCGAAGAAGGCGAACCGGATGACCCGACCACTTTTGAGCCCGGCCTTTTGTTAGACCGGCCCAATGTGGCCAACTCCTGGGTTGAGTGGATACCCCCCGACTTTTTGCATGTAGCTTCTGGGCAACAACTGGCCGCAAGTTTTGGGATGGCCTGCCAGGTCATTCAGTGGCTGACTCACCAGCATCAGCACATGGACATTGTTGCCCATCTCTCCTGGATCGAACTTGTTGCGGCCCTTCGTTGTGATGGCATTGCTTTTCCGGTTCGGGTCGCAACTAATCGAGGAGAGGCCTGGAAAGATGTAGTTACACATTCTTCCTACGCCATTGCCCAACCAACTGTTTCTTCCGATTTAGCTCTGCTGCGGTCCTTTTTTCGGTCCCTCTCTGGTTTGCTTCAACTGGACATTGGCGAAATTAGAGGTTTGAACCTCTCGAAGCTTAAGATTAGCCCCCCACAAGCGGGTTTAACCTTGGGGGCCTCTTTTCATGCTCTCAAAAGGGCAGAAGGCGCCATCTGTGCGTTCACTGCCTCCAGGCCGGTCCGAGTCACAAATGACTGGACCCGCCCCTTTAGGTTTGAGTAGTCGCTCGGACCTCGACAGACCTGCGTGCTGCACCGCGTTCCGCCGTGCACACGCCCGCAAGGAAGTGAGAGTGTATTGTTGTGTTTACGAGGTTGTGTTTTTCATTGCTTGCTTGCTTGCTTTGCTTTGCTTTGCTTTGCTTTGCTTTGCTTTGCTTTGCTTTGCTTTGCTTTGCTTTGCTTTGCTTGCTTGCTTTGGTTGCTTGCTTGCTTTGCGTCGGTTGCTTGCTTTGGCTGCTTGCTTTGCTTTGCTTTGCTTTGCTTTGCTTTGCTTGCTTGCTTTGGTTGCTTGCTTGCTTTGCGTCGGTTGCTTGCTTTGGCTGCTTGCTTTGGATGCTTGCTTGCTTGCTTGCTTGCTTCCTTGCTTGCTTGCTTGCTTGCTTGCTTGCTTGCTTGCTTGCTTGCTTGCTTGCTTGCTTGCTTGCTTTGCTTGCTTGCTCGCTCGCTTGCTCGCTCGCTCGCTCGCTTGCTTGCTTGCTTGCTTGCTTGCTTTGGTTGTTGGCTTGCTTTGCTTGCTTGCTTTGCTTGATTGCTTGCTTGTTTGCTTGCTTGCTTGCCTGCTTGCTTTGCTTTGCTTGCTTTGCTTGCTTGCTTGCTTGCTTGCTTTGGTTGCTTGCTTGCTTTGCGTCGGTTGCTTGCTTTGGCTGCTTGCTTTGGTTGCTTTGGTTGCTTTGGTTGCTTGCTTGCTTGCTTGCTTGCTTGCTTGCTTGCTTGCTTGCTTGCTTGCTTGCTTGCTTGCTTTGGTGCTTTGGTTGCTTGCTTTGCTTTGCTTTGCTTTGCTTTGCTTTGCTTTGCTTTGCTTTGCTTGCTTTGCTTGCTTTGCTTGCTTTGCTTGCTTGCTTGCTTGCTTGCTTGCTTGCTTGCTTGCTTGCTTGCTTGCTTGCTTGCTTGCTTGCTTTGCTTTGCCTTGCCTTGCCTTGCCTTGCTTTGCCTTGCCTTGCCTTGCTTGCTTGCTTGCTTGCTTGCTTGCTTGCTTGCTTGCTTGCTTGCTTGCTTGTTTGCTTTGGTTGTTGGCTTGCTTTGCTTGCTTGCTTGCTTGCTTGCTTGCTTGCTTGCTTGCTTGCTTGCTTGCTTGCTTGCTTGCTTGCTTGCTTGCTTGCTTGCTTGCTTGCTTGCTTGCTTTGTTTGCTTGCCTGCTTGCTTTGCTTGCTTGCTTTGTTCGCCTGCTTGCTTGTATGGTTTGGTTGCAAGCTTTGCCTGCTTGCTTGCTTTGGTTGCTTAGGTTGGTTAGGTTAGGTTGGATGTTTGCAGGATCGCCAGTGTTGCATCGGATTTCACGAACTTGGGATCTACTGCGAGGAGGGCATGCAAGTCATGCTGGGCGGCGGTTCCGAGAAGGTCCCTGCGCCATGGGCCCAGAGATGAAGTGACTGGGCCCCATGCTCGGTGAAGCCTTGGAGCGTGGTTGGTGGTGAGCTTTCTCGGGGTGAGCGCATTCGGGTGTAAGTGAGCTTCAGTCAGGTGAAAAAGGAGCATGGATTTAAACTGTAAGGCTGCTTTCAGGTCAGTTTCCTCGAGGTCGGTCCTGAGACTTCCTGGGAAGGTGGCCAGTCAGAAGCGATTTTTCCTTTTTGTTTGGTGGGATGTCTTGTTACCGTCTAATAAACATCTGTGAATCACACGTCGCTCGGACCCCCTCGGATCCCCCGGGATTTTTCAAACTATGTTTGACATGGGGTGATGTTCCCTCGAGGAGGTGGAGCAGCCCGGGTCTGGATTTATAGGAGTTGCAAATGTGAATTGCCCGAGCCAAGCCGTTTCAGCATTAGGCGGGCCCGTGTCTCAGCTCTTCCAGCCGTGCCAAGGACTGTGAAGCAGGCGCATGCGGCAACTTGCTCAGCCCCCCCCAATTGACATTCAAGGCATTTGCTTTTGTGTTGGGGGGGGGGGGGCGTAATGCTCAGGTGGCAGGTGTAAGAACCCATGCTGGTTGTTGGTCCCAGTTGTTCCGTGGCACCTTCCAAATCCCTTGTTCTACCCGCATCGGACTACTGGGCAATGTCCACCTCTGATTAAAAGAAGGCCCCTCCCCTCTCTCTCAGCCGCCCTGGATAAAGTTCAATGGTTTAGTATTCGAAGTGACATTTTTTGGAGTTGGAGCACAGGAAGTCTAGCAACACTACTTTTCAAATGTTTTGTACTACTGTCAGGTTCCAGGAAGTCTGTAGTTCTACTTTTGAATAGGGTTTGTATTGCTGTCAGATTCCAGGATGGTTTGCAATACTACTTTAAAGGGGACAATTCTACTTGTGATTTGCTTTCGTATGTGGATCCATTTCGAGGAAGTCACCCAGACCATGAGATTTATTTGGGGTATGGTTTGTTTAGAGCAAATGGGTACCCTTGTCTGACAGTTTGTGTATGATTGTGCAAAGGCTTCACATAAAGACATCATCATGAAACTGGACTCCAATATTGTGATATCCAGTTGTCGTCATAATGGAAAGCGGGCCCTGGCATTAAAGATTGAAATCAACAGGGTGTAAAGCATGTTTAGAGGCAACACACTAGCTTTATTGGTGGGTATGGTTTATTTCGTGCAAATGACCTTATGTGTAACTACCCGTGGCTGATTTTTTAAGATGCCTTTAAAGTAGGCTGTAAATCAAGAACTGGACATGAACATGGACACCCAGACATTGTTTCTTTTGTTGGCTTCTGGGCTTGAGGCCCACAAAATAGGGGTTGGGCATGGTCAAAGTTTATTTTTTGCGGGCTACGAAGAGGTCATTACAGAACACCGTTTCCGGGGGGTTGTGTTTTGGTTGGGTCCCTCATTCCCATCCAGCGCGTATCTGTTTTGATGTTACTTTCGTGGACCCGGGGGGGGTGGCGGAATTCGTGACTTGCTCGAGATCCTCACCGATGGCTCCGCCATGCTGGACATGAACCACCCGCTGGCCGGCAAGGCTCGAAAAGGGTCGGCCGTCCGTGGGGCGCATTGCCAGTTTTTGAAAAAAGCACTTTTACCAGCGTTACCCTGCAAAAAAAGAGGTGGTTTCGGGACCTATCCTAGGAACTCTGCGATTGTCAGTGTTTCGGGGCCCATTTTCACACCTCACCGAGTGCCACAGCTGAATGTGGCAGGCTCTGGCCTTCGATATCGAGCTGGTAGACATCAAGGAGGTGCCTTGAAGCCGGCCCCGCTTCGGCGATACCAAAGGGAGTTTCCTGGTGATGGGGGCTCGGGGGTAGTACCAAGACTGTGACACATGTTCTTGCAGGGGTTTGAGGGGTTTATACAACTTGTGGGTTCCTGGAAAGATTCTGATCCCTCAATTCAGAATATGATACCACTGGAGTTTTACAGCCAGCTTCTGTCATACCAAGGGCATCCAATGAATTGGAGGCCACGAAGTTGCCGTAGCATGGCCCAGGTTGGTGTTGCAGAAAAGTGTTTTTTCCAGAATTGGGTCCGGCATGGGTCTCTGCTTGTGATGTTAAAACCGTGCCGTCTGTTGAATTCGTGAGTTGGTCCAAATCACCTCCAGTCATGCCCTTGCCGTCGCTGCTCAAATATTGCAGGATTTCAACCGCACACCGAGCCATGACCCAATCACAAAGGTAGACATGGTACTATGTCCAGTTGCTCTCCTTTTCCAGTGAACATTTGTTTACCCTGTGCGTAGCAACCCTGACTAAGAAAGGGCTTGTGTGGGGATCCGTCCTTGCCCCGGGCTCAAGTGGGTTAAAAAAACTGCAATGTCTGGCCAGAGCGGCCAAAGTTCAAGCGCTGCGCATTGAATTATTTAAGTTACATTGGCGAGCACTGCCATGGCACGAAACGAAGCTTATCTAAACACAAGTGAAAGTGAACACCACAGTCAGGTTCTTCCCCTGAGAATGCGAAGCGGGAAACCAAAAGAAAGGGTTCCTGATTTCAACTGGATGCAGGCAAAGGCGATGTCTTCCCTGCTCATGCCCTTACTTTTAAAGAAATACTACGTATTTTTCTTGGAGAACTTTTCTTGGAGTTCCACGGTAATTTGCAGGGAGATTCTATTGGCAAGGGCGTGCAGCCGAAAGCAGCAGGGCTTGTGGCAGAAGGCACGCGGGTATGGTCTAGCATGGAGCCCGACTAAGGTTTCCCAAAAGGAGTTTCTTCAAAGGACGCATTCGGGGTTCCATGTTAGTCAGGAAGATAGGCTTACGGACCCCTTGTGGTTGTTTGGTTTAAAAAACAGCTTTAATCATTTGTGCCTGACTGGACTCTTGCTTCAGGACATACCCAACAGGACTGGCCTGGATTCTTGAGTGACTTGCGATACCTCCTGGAAAACGGATGTCAGCTACACATTTCTAGAGGAATCCCTTTTGAGCAACCCTCTTTTGTGTTCTATGTTAAGTAGCTGGGACCAGCGCAAACCTGTCTTTTAGAGTCCCTTGTTCTTTTTAGAATTCATGTTCTCTCGTCTTGCAAGGCCTAAGGCAGGCAGGGGGTCCTTCGCTGGTTGATCAGTTTTGCAGGTGAAGATGGGAATGGACGTGGTGGGCTGGAACGGCAAGAAGGTGAAGGCGAGGAGCGGGCAAACAGGAAGAAGACAGATGCACTCAGTGGGAGGGTGTAGATATCAAAAGTTATGGGGTTTGCTTCCCCATTCTTTTCAACCATCGTTCCTTTCAATAATCAGCCGTTTCCCCTGAATGCTTGCTGGTGTTTTGGAAAAGACTGGGGGCCTTAGAATCAAGGGGAAATTTTCACATGCGCCTCCACCTATTCGGTGAGCCCAAAGTAGGATTTTTCTCAGGGGTTGGCTGCACGCGAGCATGTTGATGCTTGCTGTTATCAAAATCGCGCAGCTGCTACACTCCCCAGGAGCATCATAAGGATGGCTACATTTCTCATTTTGGACACCCACCACTGATCCGCTGGGTAGAGTAATAATGTGGCTGTGGGTCTAAACCAATGGTACCATTTTGGGCTAGGTGCACCACCCATTTTAGAACCTATTTTGGGATTGGAATGTTCACTGGGGGTACGATTTGGATTTTGACCCATGGCCATGTGGGGTCAACATGACCCGATGGGTGAAAGCAAGCATCGCTCCAACGAGGTGCCCTTCGCTATTGCAAGCAGCCTGGTGAGCCTGGAGCACAGCACTCCAGGTCAAAGACTGTCTGGTCAGCTAGTGGTTGGAAGGGAGCCCTTAGGGAGCTAGGGGTCTCCAAAATTTGCCTCTAAAATGAGAGCCAACAAGGAGCTACCAGGAGTTCTGTAAGGACATGGTGGTCGACCTTCAACTTGTGGGGAAACCGAAAGTAAAGAACTGAAAAAGTTTAGGATTTTGGGCATCCGAACAAATGGCCTCTCGGGATCCTGTGACGGAAAGGGGCCAAAATGGGGGACCGCAGGGATTTACAGGTTGCAATCCCGGGGGACGTTTACCACTTCAGACAAGGAGGTATCTTTGACGGGGATATTTAGCACACCTTTGTCAAAACGATTTGAACACCTCCCAAACCAGTTGATTTCCTTTTTGGATCTGTCCTTGAACTGTCGCCAGGATGGTCTCACACATTTGCATTTGAGCGAGCGCAACGACCCAAGGTCGAGCGCTGAAAGACCCCCAGTGGCCTGAGAAGTGGACATCGCCTCAGGTGCCGGGGGAATCCTTAGATTTCTATTTTTCTAGGGTACCTTCCCCATGCTTTCCAGGGATCCTTATTTTCAGGAAACCATCAAAATCCCAGGGAAAACGGCTGGTTTTTGAAAAGAACGATGGTTGAACACAATGGGGAATCAAACCTTAATTGTTTGGTGTTTTGACCATCGTCTCGCTTCGCGAGTTCCTGGACATGGTAGTTTTTGGGAAGACCATATCGGCAGCAAACGAATGGCTTGGACTGTTTTAGCCCATCCGCCCAGGAAGAGATTCACCTTTTCCAGCAGTCTTAAAGGAGTTGTGCTTTTTGCAGCTGAAGTTGAAAAGATAAGGGGCAGATATGGAATATGAAGGAACCCATGTGTTTGGCATGCTTTCTTCAAGTGATGTCTGCAAATTCCAGCGCAAAACGGGGAAACGAACCTGAAAAAAGGTCCAGCCTGATTTCCTACATGGGGGGAGGGGGTGGGAATCCAACCCAGAAATTTGGAAACTTAGATTACTTCGACTTTTGGGGCCGCATGGCCTCAACTCAATGCCGACATCGAGGCCGTACACGGCGGCGGACTTCCGTCGCCAGGATGAGTCGGAGGATACCGGCTTCTACAGCCAGCCGGGTACCCAGTTTTTTCCGGTTGGTGGAAAAGGAAGCCAAAGAGAGACGTGTCCAATGATTTTGGGGATCCCTGAAAACCAACCAAAACCGAATGTGTACTCAAGGGAATAATGCCCGTCTTGGTTTCCTTTCTGGGTGGGGTCGTTTGATCTCATTCCCTGCCTATCAAACCAGCAAGAAAGCAGGTTTCACTACCCAAGCCCCGAGATGTTGGTAATTATTTACCAATTCTATAGCCATCTCATCATGGATACCCCCCCCCCCCAAATGGTTTCGTGCGGTTTCTCACAATAAAAGGTCATTCCATGTGTTCCCCTGCCCCGGTTGTTTCCTCGGGTCATTCCCTATCGAAGCCAGGCCTCGCTTCGTCACCCACATCGACCGCGATGCCATCGAGTCCATCCGGAGCTTCTACGCGCTGCAGTTCGCCCAGGCGACGTTTCGGGGGCGCGGAATGTTCGAGCGAGCGGGTGCGGCCACATGGGGCGTTTGTTCGTTTTAGAGGGCCCCTTTTTGGCTGTGGATCAAAAATGTGTACCCAAACTAGAACCCTGGTAAATGGAAACTGGACTACAACCTGCGGTCCCCTGGTGGTTTAATTTTGACCCACACCCTTTTGTTGGCTTTGTCTCTTTTCTGAGGGTACCCTTTTTTGATGGTTTTACAGGGCAGCCAAAAGGACACCCTCTAAAACGACAAACCTGTATGATTACACATCCGGGCCAAGGCCACAGGGGATTGGCCCGCTGCTTCACAATGGGAGCTTGCAAGGCGGTTAGACTGCGGATGGTGCAAAAGGAGATCATTCTTGTGATGGCCTTCTGGGTGATGTATGAATCTGCAGCGTAGACTAGCCAGGGTTCTTGCCCAGAACTGCCCCTCGAGTTCACGAGGCTGCAAATGGGCACAGATGAGGAACAGGGTTAGTTCCTTCCAGATTGCCCTGAAAGCTTGAGATTGCTGCCTGAAGCATTGCCATATGAGTGATTCTTTGTTTTTTTGGTCGAAGGCGCCCTGCTTCATCCTGCTTGGTGTTGTCGAGGGAAGGTGAAAGAAGTCGCTAGGAAGAGGGATGATCCTGGATGCTGGGAACGCTGATTCTGACTGATGGCTCAGCTGCAACCTTTGTTGACATCATTTGTTGAGGATTCACCGATCACGCTACCCTTAGTGGTTTGGCTTGGAGTTGGGATTCCAACCCCGGCACCCTTTGACAATCAAATGGGGAAGGTACTCCAACCTCCCAAACAACAATTGGGGCTAAGGTGCTGAGCACGAGCTGGGAGGTTCCTATTTTGGCAAGGCAAAATCCCATCCAAGGGACGCTCTGGGAAAATCTATGGGCCAGGCGACGGATTTTGTCTATGGGCGCCGGGTTTTGTCTATTCAGCCCGCATGGATCGATGTGAGGCGCCTCAGGGGGAGTACAGCGTGCTGGACATCTGCAGCTCGTGGATCAGCCCGGCGCCCCGGAGATTGGCGCGGCACGCGATGGAAATCCACGTCCAGCAACCCAAGCGTTGTCAGAGGAATGTGTTTCATGTGTGTTTCATGAGCCCCTCTTTTGGGTTTCATGTGTAGAGGGGAAGCATGGCTTCTACCCCAAAGCAGTAAGTATCCAATGGAAAAGCGGGACATCCAATGACTAATGCAATCACAAGTTCAAATGCACACCCGATTTCTCGTGGGGTTGTAGTGGGAATCCGATTGGATTCCGAATGGGTGGTTGACCTTTTGTGCCCCATCAAGAATCGACCATCCCCGAGGGTAGGGAAGCACTGCAATCCCAAAGACGGTTACTCTTTGACCAGAACCCTTCTAAGGAGGTTCTACCTTTTTCTGGGTGGGGCAGCCATTAGTCGCCTGCGCGAGGGCATCCCCCTGCATGCCCCACTTGCAGGCACCAAACGAAACACTGGGAAGTTTGGCCGAGCGATTCGAAATTCGAGGATTGCATTTGCGTGTTTGGGCGGAAGGCATGAGTGTTCATTTCCAAGTCCGCAGGTTCAGTGGAGCACGTCCACCAAGAACAAGGCGGTCTTACTTCCTTCCCCCAGACAGGCCCTTCCGTCAGAACCCCCTGAAGGTTCCTTCACGAACATGTCCTACGGGTGTAGAGGCTTTTGTTCCCAGATGCTGAGTACAATCACATTCGCAAAGCTTGATAAGGAGAGAGTCAACTGGTCTTAAGCTTTTCAAAAGGTGTTTTACTAGTATCGTACCAATGGCCTCACTCCCTGAGTTGCTAGGACTACACACGTTTGCATGGTACCCCCGCTCCAATCATCGAAGCTGACGATCGGTGGGTTTTGGACAAGAGGTCCACTTGGGGAGGGTAAAAGGTCCATTTTGGAGGAAGGCCCACTTTGGAGGGAGGTCCACTTTGAGGTCCACTTTGGAGGGAGGGTTTTGGTCACTTGCAGGGTTCTTGGGGGAAAACTCAAAAAGTCCGAACTTGGTGTGGGGAACTGAAAGGGAAATGAAGGGGAAAGGCCACAGGCCTGAAGAACAAGGGGGGTGAGGGGAGTGAGGGGGGAATGAAAGGGAAACAAAGGACGAGGAAACCAAAGGACACGAATCCAGTGAGCGGAAGAGTCCCGTCTTCTCAGGCCACTACCCGGAAGGTTTGAAGGCCAAGCGGGTGGCGATCACCGGCATGGTGGAGAAGGAGCTGATCCGCAGATCCGGGCCCTCCATGGTTGTTGTTGGGAAACATTTTACAGTTTTGCTTCTTGTGGTTTGCTGGAAAATCCCCACTTCGCTGCAAAAATGAATATTTGCTCCCCTTCCAACCCAACCAAGCCTCGTGCAGGTGGCCTGCCGGAATTGAAACATTGGAAAAGGCGCCCAGTCTCTTCTGCAGACCAGACTTTCGACGGCGCGAGAGGGAGAGAGAGGGAGAGAGAACCAGGGGCCTCTCAAAGTGGGCCAAAGGCATGTTGAGTCCTCTAAACCACAAATTGGAGGGCATGTCTTGAATGAGGATGCTACTTTCATGGACCCAGTTTGGACAATCACGGACGTGGACGGAAGGTGCTTGCAAGACTAGGTTGGTTTCCTTTTGGTTGTCCTTTGGACGCCTGCCAAACAGGAAAGGGTGACGCATGGAAAAAGACGGTGAAGACAACTTGAAGCCATGGTTTCTGGCAAGGTCAACTTGAACCTGGGTGCTTGATTTGTTGAAAAGGAGAACCAGCCCTTTGGTTCAGATGAGGAGCTTGAAGCCAACAAGCAGGCGACGGAGCACACAGCCACCGCCTCACTGCCGAAAGGGTTCGCCAGGCAGCCTGCGGCCCCCAATGATGTCCTGGTTACCTGGTTGCCCGCCTTGTACCCCCCCTTACCCGAGTTGGCCAACTTGTTCGACTTGTGTTTGGCAGATTTGCCTTCTGGCCAGTCAACTCAGGCCGGCTACCCTTGGTCCGAAGTGCTTGGTTTCCTTCAGGCATTCCTATTGACTCAATCCAAAGGAGCTGCTTCCGGAATCCAAGACCCGGGTGGATTAATTATGGTAGATGACAAGCAGCAAGGGCCAGTCCCAGGGTGCGCTGGAAAACAACAAATACCAAAAGTGTCAAAAAGTCTAAGCAGGAGCCAAGTGACAAGTATGATGCAAGTGAACCCATGCTGAAAACCGCTAGTGTTTGGTGTTGATTTACCATACATGATGTCTGTATTAGGGCACCCCTCAACATTGCGATTTTCCTTTTGGTTTCCTTTTGAACGCCACAAAGACCCGGTACCCTTGAAAGAAGACAACCCCATAGGTAGAAATTGACGCATGGACCGGTGGGAGCCACTCAGCTTTCAGCCCGACCTGGTGTCCGCCGGGTGAGAGTCACTGAGGCGGCCGACCTGAACAAGAAGCCGAAGCTGCCCTACGAGGACAACTCGAATCTCCAGAGGGGTCGTTTGATTCGGTTTTCAAAAGCAAACAGTTTCACCTGGTTGGTTGGTTGCTGGTTGGCTGGTTGGCTGGCTGGCTGGCTGGTTGGTTGGTTGGTTGGTTGGTTGGTTGGTTGGTTGGTTGGTTGGTTGGTTGGTTGGTTGGTTATTTCACGTGGCTTTCGGGAAAGCGGGGTGCCGTAGACCGGATAGGAAGCTTGAGTTGGGCTGCGTTCCAGAATGCTAAGACACTGACCCCAGGAAAAACTGACCAGGTGGTGAACTAACTGTGGCTTAAGTCCATGTTTTACCAGGTTGCCCCAACCCTGAAATTTCGCAGTGTCCAATTGCCCTGAGACCCAAGCCCCGAGCCCCGCCCTTGCCGGATGCTCTTGTGGGTGTGGGTCAAAAATAGGTACACAAACTGGAACCCTGGCAAATGGAACCAAAAACTAAAACCTGCGGTTTTCTGGTGGTTTGATTTTGACCTATACCCTTGTGACCTTTGGAAGTACGAACAGCTGATGGCTAGTTTCTTTCAGGTCAAATGGCATGCCCTGCTTCAACTCAACCCAGTTTCGAGGTTTGGGCGTGTCTCAAGCCGGGGCACCTGCAAAATTGAGTTCCTGGACTTGGTCTGTTTTGAGAAGACCGTTTTAGCTGATCCACGCTGACCCACTCAGGAAGGAAGAAGCAGATGCGTTTTTTTCTTCGTTTGGCCTTCTTTTGGTTGCCCTTTGGTGTACCAGTACCCCACACAGGGCTTTTCGAGGACAACAGCTTCGACTTTGTGACCAACGTGGTGAGCGTGGATTATCTCACGAAGCCCAGGGAGGCGCACAGAGCATCATGTCCTTCGACCACCGCCGTTTCACAAATCTAAAGCCCTAAGTGCCTTTTTTGGGCCTCACGTGCGGGCCGTGCCGAGTCACACGCCAACTTTTGTTTAAGCAGGGTTGAGCAATTGGTGCGCACCTGGCCAACAACAAGAAGGCGTCAGCGCGTCAGGGTATCAGTTGTGAGGCCCCTTTCGCCTGAGATGCCCCTTTGACGGGTGCCGAAGCGGCTCCGCTAGGTCTTCCAGGAGATGCATCGCGTGCTGAAGCCCGGAGGCCAGCCGTATGAAAGGTCCAGGCGGCACGAGATCAGGATGCCATGCCAAAGCCAACGACTTCCACTCCTCTTCCCCAGAATTTGCTCCCCTTTTTGTGTTTTGCTTTCTTGGGGGTCCCTTTTGTTTTCCACTAACCAGGCAAAAAGGATACATGTTTTTGCTGGGGTCCTAATTCCAGCCTAGTTCTTGGATAGAAACACGCCAAGTAAGTTCGACGTATCTTCCATTCCAGTAATCCAACGTGGGAACTGTGCTAAGAATGTTGGGGGTATGAGGAAACGGAGGTGCTGTTTTGCAGGTTGATGGGTATCGGTTTCAGGTGGTCCATCATGCTTTGCTGTTTGTGCCCGTGGAGGAGGGGGGATTTTACGTGTAGTTTTGTAGGGCAGTGCCCCCCTTGTATTTGTTGTTCTTCAAGTTCGGAAATGGGGGTCGCTGCAACTTGCTCTTGACCTATGAAGGAGATGCCACGGGGAAGGACAATTTAAAAATTGTCCAGACCAACAAATTTGAACATCAGGACCCATCCATCCAAAGGCCCATGAGCAGCGCAAGCCCCCCTGTTGGCGAACCGAGCGAAGGGTAGATCGACCAGAGGATGTGTCGGTTCACCTGTCCGCTTGATTGATTTGCGGACCACGCAGTCAACGCTCCCCCCCAACGTACCGTTTTGAGCATACCCAGACACCCCCATGAAGGGACCCATGCAATAGGAGGGGTGGGATCCATCCATTTTTGCAAGACAAGACACTCCTTTTGTGGGAATCCCCCGTTTTGGGGTTCCAGAAGCAGGCATGGCGTCCTTGGAAACCAGCGATAGCCTGCCAGGGGTTGCCATCATGTCCTTCAGCAACCGCTGCTTCTTCACAAAGGCTCGCGCCTAGCTGACTGCAAGCGGAACACAGGGCGGTTGTGTGTAAAGAGCGACATTGCACCCCCTCCCCCCCAACCCTGTTGGGATTCACCTAAGAACTCCTAAGAAGGTTCTGAGCACGAGCTACAGCTAAGAATCTTGTCTAGCGGGTGGGGTGGGGGCATAAGGCCCCCGATTTGGGGAAGTGAGATCGACCACAGAACACAGGGTTCAGAGAGTTGCAACCATTTCTGTCAAACTGTGGATGAACGAAATCCTGCACCACCTAAGAAACCTGGGCTGATGACCCCCCTACAAATACCAATAAAAAATGGTGTCCCATGGTTTCAAAGCGGTACATAAATTCGTCCATACACAGCGCAGATGATCAATTCTCCTAAAGGGGGAGGTCCCTGACATCACCACAGCCAACCCCACAACATGTGTCCAGACTGCACGCTGGACCACCGCATCCATCATGCCTGAGGCTATCTCTATGTGGGTGGCGGACATGAGCTGGAACCTTGTGGCGCAATCGCTGAAGCTCGGGCGGCGGCGCAAAACTCCAAGATATCGGACTTCTTGGGGCCAAGGGTTTCAATGAAGAATTTGTATAGATCTATATCTATATATATATATACACACACATAGTTATTAGTATTTCATCTAGATGTACACACATATTGTATATATATATATATATATTGATCATACATACATATATATATATATATATTTATTTATGTACTGCCCCCGTTTTGCACATGGGGATGGCCAGCACCGGCAGGTTGAGCAGAATGAATCCATTTCGAGCAGCCGCTTTGCTGCCGGCCGTCAGCCAAGGCGATGGCCCGGGCCACTGCAGAATCGCCCGAGCGCCCGGGCTGGCGGACTGGCGCTGGGGTTCGGTCCGAGGTTTCAACGTGATCTGTTGGTTTCCGATTTAAAGTGACAAGGTCCCCCAGCAGTCCAGGAGTGCCCTTCTCTCCCCTTCTTTGGTTGGCAGGGGTCCCCTACTAACTTTTGACTGCAGCTTCTAACCTCTCTACTGGAGGATGTAGGTGAGCTTCCCTTTTGGTGGGGTGATGAGCGCGGCATTGACCCGGACTTCCAAGCTTGAGTTCGCAGAAAACCGCGAAGGTCGAGGCCCTCTTCAATACCTATCCATTTGAACTCCAGTTCTCCGAGCCGACGTTTGGACCTTTGATTTGTCCCTTTTGGTCCATTGCCTAGTCAGGTCATGTCAGGTCTCTAGAAGGTGAACCCTTAACTTGGGCGTTTTAGTGTAAGGTGAACCCCCTGATTTTTGGGTTCCTTCGGCATAGGTTCACTACCCCTCCCTTTTAAGGTCTTGGTTCCTTGGGTATCTGAGTGTAAAAATCCCTCTTTCGACACCTCAGGTCGGCAACTACTTCCACTTCAACCCCGAGGGCGGCTGGCTGCGGCCTCGAAGCCTCGCTCTTCGTTCCTTCGGGAAACATGTACCTGTTTTGCTTGGAGACCACGGCTTTTGTTTTGGGGACAGTGATGGTTGCCTTTTCTGGCGGTTGCAAACCACTTGAGGGGGTGACTTTGAAAGTATGATAATAATGGCCTCGCTCTTCGTGCATCGCTTTACTCTACAAACAGGCGACTTGGTTTTTTACTGCTGCAGCCCATGGTAACTTGAACACGTTATGCATGCTTCTATGTGACACATATGTTTGGCACTTCTAGGCCACTTGGTGCCAGGTACACCCTAACGGAGTCACAAAATAGAACATAATATAGCGAGGGCGCACAGGGTAAACTGAGGTTCCTAACGGGGGCTCTTCTTCAGGTTGGTGAGGTACAGCCCCTCCCAGGTCGGTCGGAAGTTTCCGGCCCTGTCCACCACCTGAGCCATGAAAGTTATTCCAGACGGTAGTGGTTTGCCTCGTGGCAGTCCTATGAAGCCAAAAGTGTTCCCATGTGTTCCCAAGAACAACCAGTCAAGCCTTCAATTGAGTTCTCATCAACGTGGACAATCATGCGCATGGCATCCTTGTCTTGGTTTCCACATATATAACCCCCCCCATTTAGGCTAGTTTCAAGAGGACATCAAATGGAAACCAACCACCCGAAAAGGGCTGAATTTTATGAGAAACACCCACGTAGGGCCACCCCCCCCCCCCCTTCCAAGGCCCAAGGCCCAAGCCCTGGCCCACTTTCGGTCCATCCGGAGGAAGGACATCACCTCGCTGGACATCAGCAAGAGCCCGCGCCAGCCTCTGTGCGCAACCTGGGGATTGGCCCAACCTCAAAAAGCCACGAAAAAAGCGCCCAAACCAAACTTCTCACTGGCCCAGAGCGGTTCGACCTGAAACGACCAATTTCGGTTTTCCGACTTTGGTCACCATTTTGTGGTCCTGGAAACCCAAAAAGCTAAGCTTTTGTTTCTGGGCCCTTGGGGCAACTGAGCTAACATGGGGGGTTGAAGCAAACGGGTTGACCATTGAATCGGGTTGCTTGGGTTTCCCTTCAACAGATTCAATGGAAGGCTTGGGAACAATACTCAAAGAACCAAATATTCTTAAATCCGTAAGGAAACATCTTGGTTGGCCAAGCATTGGTCGGTTTAACCCCCACCCCATCCGCAACTGTGTTGCTTCGATGCGTTTTCTATCAATTCAGCCCAGTGATAGAAAAAGGACCCCCTGTTTGTCAGCTTCCCTCCAGTTAATTTTCTGGTTTGGATTTGAGGGTAGTTTCCTATTTACCCTCTACAAGAAGCAGGGGTTCGAATCCCCCAAACCACCACAGTTCACCGGAAATTGGTCACACACCCAGAGAAACACGGGGCTTCCCTTGAGGGTACCCAAACCACCAAGGGACACCTGATGTTTGGAGGTCGGCAAAGCCGAAGCCGCCAGCCTGGATGCCTGGATGTTCCGGCATCCGGAATGTGAAGAGTAAAGGCTCAGGGCTTCTAAATTCAAATTGTCGAGAGGGGCGAAGGGGGTCACGGAGTTGAAGGGATGCAGTCCGAAAACAAAAATTGGTTTGTGACCGCGGGCTGCCCACCATGTGAAATTCAGAGATAAACAGACGAGCTGGCTGCTACACTCTGTTATCAGGGTGCTAATTGGTAAATGTGCTATGCCACTTGCTGGCTTCACCATACACGGGAAAATTGCGACACCGATACCAGCGTCGATCATGTATAACGCACTCAATGGAGGGTCTGGGGTAAGCTAGTACAGGAAGAGATTCTTGTCGAATCTGACATCGGACATAAAATCCCAACCCGGTCTTGTGTTTTCCTTTGGTTTCCTATTAGCACAGACCCACAAAAGAATACGGAACCTCAAAAATCAAGTTTCTTTGGGAAAGCAGAGCGCCGTGGGTGGGACCTCTTAAATTCCAAGGTGTTTACATGCTCAGGTTTACCAAGTCTGACGCGGAAACAAGAAAATGCCAGTTTAGCTCCTGGTATGGCAGACGCGTGCCTATTTTGCAGGCACCTTCTTTGGGGGCTTCCGGTTGTCAGGGTTTGAAACTGTAACAGTGGATCCCAAAAGTCCACATCACAGCAAAAAGCACCCTTTGCCAATGGAAGCCAACATGTCACGAGCCATTAGTATCCAAATCTGACGGGCATTCATCGTCTAAGCATGGATGCACTGTGAAGAAAGATGGCCAAAGTTGTTCACATGCAAAGTTGCTTACACTTGCAAGCCTGCGATAAGGCCAGTGCTGCCTTCTTCTTGGCACCTCAAATTGGTCATGAAGGTCTCCTCGAATCAGTCCCCCCCCCCAGCAAACGTAGCGTTTTTACAGGTCCCTTTCTGCACAAACAGAAGCACTCAAGTTCACCTTGCTTGCTTCCGACTGAGGCAATCCAACCCCATGTGGGTAGTGACCGCCGTGAAAGCATGAGCCACAAGCGCACAATTGATTCATTATTGCGAAGACCCTGGCAACAATTATGGAACTGGAAGGGTCATGGAGCCATGATTTGGGAATCGAGTAGCTGCACTTTTGGGGAGCTTGGCTGCTACAAGCTCACACATGAAGGCCTAACTTTGGATATCTTTGGATCTTTTGGCGAAGAGGTGAGCGCAAACAGATCGGATCCTTCCGCCATGCCTCCTGATGCAAGGGGTTTATGAACTCCATACTTTCAGTACCCGTGCCTGAACAAGAAGATGTAGTTTGCACGCATGAAAACGGGTTCCGTCCTCTCCATGATTGACTGCGGGGAGTAGGTTGGAATTTTCGCGGGATGCAAGGCTGGTTGTACCTTGCGAAGCCTCGTGCGGGCATGTGCCTCGGGTTCCACTACCCCAAACATTGCCAAACTCCTCTAGTCGTTTTGCGGTTTTAACATTTTGAAAAGTTGTGATGTGGTGGGCGTGGGGGTGGTGCTCTGGGGGAGTGGAAGCCATCTTAGACACGGGCAGCGTGCACAGTCAATGTGCTTGGAAAACAATGCCTTGCCTTGTTGTTGCTTAGTGCCAGCAGCTATGCCATTGAGTTGCTACACTTGAAGCCGCATTTTGACTGGGGCTTAACCAAGAGCATAATTGTTTCTAGAGCTACCTATTTCCCAGACCTCCAGTGGTGCCTTTCTTTTAAAACTTTGTGAGAAGACAAGTAGGATTCCATTTCTTCAGATGGCCACTGAATGTCTGAAGCGCCCAAACCCTTGGTAATGTTGGCAGGGCTGGCTCAATGGGAACAAGAATGCTGGCCAAAACAACCTCTTCGACATTTTGCTCGAACCAAACATCAAGAGGTGGCGCTTCTCAACAGGACAGCGTTTCATGGAGAAGATGTAATGGATGGACACAGGACACGGTTTGGCCGATGCAAAAAGAGATCTCGCCGGCTCTTTGGTTTGACCCTTGAAAGTGCTTGTTTCATTCAACTTGCCGGCAAAGCATGGGTTTTCTGCAGGGATCGCACACCAGCCTTGAAGGATGAAAGACGTGGCTGATTTGGAGGGCTTCCTTTGACCCACCCAGAAGAGTGTGTGCCTCACGTGTCGGCCTGCGGGCAAAATCGGTGTGCAGAGTCAGCGGGTTGCAGCAGGTTTCGTGGAGCTGCTGATATGGCTCCAGGTTTGGAATCAGATGACCATCCACCCTTGGATCTTATAACGAGCTCACCGATTCGAGGTTCCACCCATGATCAAGGCCCCTCATTGACGAATTATTGTCATTGCACGTTGCCCAGATCCCACACTTGCTTGCAGGTCTCCGGGCTGCTGAGTTTCCTTTTTAAGCAGGATTGCCCGCTGCAGTTGAACGTGGAAGCTCAACAAACCGCCATTTGTGTCGGGGACTCCTTTTGGGACCCACAGTCCCACATGGCCGTATAGGGCCTTCAGGGTTGCTCAAAAGTTGGGCTCCTCTCCCAGTTCTTGAGAGGGAATCGACTCGACTATTTTTCCTTTGGGTTTCCAGCTCTTGCGACGCACATCGGCTGCTCACTTGATCAAAGCTGACCTGTTGAGTTCTTTGGGGCTCAGTATGCAGGCAAATTTATTCTTTGGGCTCTTGTGACTGTTGGTCCATGTAGTTGAGACATGGCACGAAACGCAGCGTTGATTTCTGGGTGACGCGTCCGCAACAAAGAACATCAGAAACCCGGCTCGATGTCTTTCTCGGCGCATGCGGCACGGCTTCGCGTGACCTTGCCTGTGGCGTGCTTGGTGACCTATGAGTGGCGCCGGCCGAGCAGATGTGAGGGGCGGCTGTACCGGCGACCCGGCGGGCAGGAGTTGGTTGCATTCCTCCCCCTTTCCCCCAACCTCACCCCACGCCCCCTCCTGTGTCCCCAAAGTAAGCCCGCACTTTATTTGGAGGAAGGGTGGATCCTGTGAGAATTGGTCGGGGCATCTAAAGGATCCGTGCTCCAACTTCAGCGTTTCCGCCGCCCTTTAGTTTGCTGGACTATGGGCCATGTGTGGTGAACCTTCAAGAAGTACAAACTGGAAACATGTGTCTTTCGCCCAATATGTTCTCCCTCCCCCTTTCGATTGGACCTTTCCAGAGCCACCCAAGACGGGATTCAAACACGCGCTGTTTCTGTGCGTTTCCCTTGGAACCAGTTTCATGGGACCAGTTTCTTCCTTTTCCTCTTAAACTGAGGAGCTTGAAGTGGTGGCCAAACAGGTTTCACTTTTCACACACACTCCGCCAAAGCTCCACTTCATCCCAGGTCCATGGTTTTGCCCTAGGCAAAGCACGGACGACCCGCAGCGGGTGCTGCAGTGGCACGCCGCCCACGGCGGCTTCGTGCACGGAGCGGTCCGCGCCTGCCAACTGCCGGGCCTGGGCTGGGCCCTGTGCGCCCAAGCGCCGGCGGGACGGGACGCCGGGACGCTGGGCGGAGGAAGGGGTGGGGCAAAACCAACAACCCTCCATTTGCTGAAAAATATGTTTGATTTCCCCTGGTGGTTTTAAAGGGAATCTATCACTACTGGACCTATGTTGGTGTTTTCCCTGGGGACTTATTTAAGCAATTGGAGGAAAGCAACTGGACTCGACTTTGGCCCCCCGCCAGGGGAAATAAAAGGATGCGCTTGGAAACAGTAGCTGTGCTTCAACATGTTCAAGCAAGGTATTGAACCAACCCTGTTGAAGGGAGCGGGCACCATGGCCGCGCTTAACTGACCCCACCGGACTTTTGCATCGCCTTTTTGTCCCTTTTGACCTGGTGCCCTCTTGGGTGTCCTTCAGGGCCCCTCTGATCCAGCAACGAGTTGACATTTGTGCGAACCGGATCCGTCTGGCCAAGGGCATAGGTGTCCTTTTGGACGAGCTTGGGTTAAGACAGGATTCCACGGCGTCAGTTCGGCTCCAATCAATTTGCCGGTGCCATCGACTTTTTCCAGTGCCTCGCTGCAGGGGATGGCGCGGGAGGGGTTTTTGAACTCTTGGGAGCTCAAGCAGGGCTGGGATGTAACTTTAAGTTGCAGGATCAAAATGGACCTTTAGCTTCATTGTAAATTGCACAAAGAAATACACACACACAGAGAAATCTAATTTGTGTTTCAAGAAGCTTTACAGGGAAGCTGAAAGGTCCATTTTGATCCCGTGGGTCGCGGTGTGTTCCAAAGACTCGATGACAGGTGTCTTCCGGCACCGTGCTGGTGACCACGCCTGGGTCTTTGCTTTGGACGGCCTTCGACAAAAGGCGCGGCCAGGTCTTCAATTCTGTTCGCCCCCCCACCCCAACAGCCGAAAGCTTCCGGGCATGTTCCGCAGATGGGCTCTGGGGTGGTTCGCAGCGGCGACGGGCTGGTGCTAAATATGTCCAGCATATATGAGCATATATGAAAATCACAGGTGCGACAGTTGCTGCGTAGGGGAAGTTCAATCAGGTTCAGGATCATTCACTTGCTAGCTGATCCCTGTGTCCTCCCTGACCATGGTTATAACCCATTTTGTTCCAAGGTAGTTGTAGGCTTTGAAAGTGATAAACTAGTCACGGGAACACACCCCAATGGGTCCGCAGAAAGAGGCAACCGTTGTCCACAAAGAGGCACCCAAGTCAGGTGTGCTTGGTCTAAGATTCCATCATCCACATTTAGTTTGGGGAACAGAACAAGTTACAACCTGCTTGTTTGGCAAGAATCATAGCAACCTCGCAGGGGTAAGCGATCTCCTCGTGTTCGAAGTCGGATATTTTCCAGAAGGTCGATTCAGCAGACACATGTGACAATGGCTTTGCATCACGAGTCTTTGCATATTCAGCTTGGTGAAGCTGAGACAAACAATGTGACAAGTAACTAGATGACTCAACAAATAAGCGTAATGCCACCAAATCTCCATGCACATCCGTATAAGCAAGACAAATATGTAAGTAACCAAAACCAGTAAATAGGTAAATCCATGTAGTACCCCACGTTTCCCGCCTTAACTTTGACATACCGCGCTACTTTTACGCGCCCGGGAGCTCGAGGGCGCCCCAAGCGGCACCGCTGGCGCCCGGGGAGCGCCTGGCCAGCGCCTCCGCGCAGCTCCGGCGGCGCCTCGTGGCGGCGCAGGCCGCGGGCGAGCCCTTCGTGGAGGCCACGGGGAACGGGGCGCCAGGGGGCCGTTGGAATTTTGGAAGGGAGCCGTTAGGAAGGGATCCGTTACAAATTGCGAAAGGGATCCAAAACATTCTACAAATTTGGCGTCATCAAGCTTTTGGTTCATCTGATTCTAATTGCTTAACTCTATTTCTTCGCTAAAATTTGCAATCATCCATGCAGGCTTTTCAGGGTGCGGTTGGAAATCTAGAAGGGAGCCGCTTAGGCAGGGGGTGTCCAAATTTTGCGAAACAAGGGGGCCTTGGAGGGAACGCGCCACGGTTGGAAGCTGGAAGGGAGCCGTTAGGCAGGGGGGATCCAACTGTGCGAAACACGGGGCGTTTTTCGGAGCTACCGGGAGGTGGAGGTGGGTAAGTAAGTATGTGTTTTTCAGGTTGGAGCCGTGGCCCCCAAAACAAAAAGCAGATGGGTGGGGGGTGCTTTGGGTTAACAGGGAGTGTCTTTCTTTTTCAGGTTGGAGCCTTGGCCTCCAAAGCAAAAAGCAGATGGTCCTTTGGGTTTTCCTTTGCACCGAGACCAAGAAAGGGTGCCCTCTGCAAATAAAGCGGGCCCAAATGGGAGGGTAGCAACAGGAACACAAATCCATTTTCGAGGGTCGCCCTATTTTGACACCCCAAATGGTTTCCATGGCACGGATCCCCCCTCAAAGTGTAGATGCCCTTTTCAGGGATTCCTCCTTCGCCGAAATAAACTGGGCAAACAAATGGCATCCAGTTCCAAAGGTGCCCTTGTGGTGCCCCATCCCTCCGCTCCACACGGTTTACATATTTGTGGCTTCTGGCCCCAAAATGATGGGTTTTCCTCGTGGCTTTCCTTCAAAACCAAGGCAAAAAGGGATCTCTAGCCCAAAACATCCGCAGCCGCCGTGGGTTTCTATGCTCCGCCCTTCCAGGCGATGCATCCACCGGACAGCATCCCACTGCAGATGGTCGCCGGCTCGGTGCTCGATCCGCCACCGGAGGCGGCGGTCGGCGCGCTCAAGGCGGATCAAGTCCGGGGGGTTGTGGACAACATCCTGCACCACTTCAACCCAAAACCGGTGTTTGTTGAAACCCTCTTGGACAAACAACGACAAGAAACCCCTTCTTCGTGGACACTCTGAACCTGTTTCTGGGTCCGCAGGCATATTTCCCTTGGCACCCCTTGACCTTGGCAGGCAACGGGGAAAATCGTTCAGGGGGGGGGGGGACTTCAAGTTGGGGGGTGGAGATGAACCCCCAGTTGTGTGGCACATCCCGAATCCCGTGCCTGCCTAAACATGCATGCCCAAGAAGACTCCCTAGATTTTCCCAAAAGGGGGACAATGTCTAACGAGTGCTTGACCCCAGGGGGGAAACACGTGTGCAGCTAACCTGTTCCTGGGCTCATGGGCCAGAAAGTAAAACAACAAACAGCGAATCACTCCCTGCCTGGCACACCCACGAAGCCCTGGTTGGAATTGCCTTTTCGGGGGGGATCCTGGGGGATAGCCTCACTTGGCCCAGCCGCCTCCAGGGCACAACTTTGCTGCAGCACACCCTGTCGCTGCGGTCCAGGCTGCTGGAGGCCATAGGCACGTTGGACAAAATCGGGTGGAACTACTTGGCCGTTTTGTGCCCTTGCAAACCTAGGAACGTCATGTTTTTTTAAGTTTCATAGAACAGTTCTGGAACCAAATATCTAAGCATATCTAAGCATATCATATATGCTTGGCTGGCAAAAGCTTGGAGGTTGAAACCGAAAAGTGAGGCTAAGCACATCATACTACACTCCCTCAACATGGAAGCTGCTCCCATTGGCCTTTGTAAATGGAGCCAAGTCTTCCATTTCGGGGTGGGAGCTTCCATGGCTCGTCTGGACAAAGGGGGGGTTTCCCACTTCTCTGCAACTTCTGGAAACCCGAAGAACTTGGTTCCATGTACAGAGGCCAATTGAGCTTTCATGTTGGTCGGAGGGGAGGCAGAAGCAGACGAAAGATGAATCTGAGGTCCCGAGCTGCGGGCGGCCAAAGATGCCCAAGCCTTCTGGGAGGCTTCCGTGTGGGCACAGGCGGGGAAGGAGCTGGAGGACTCACTTCCACAGACCCAGACCACGCCCCTATGCCCCCCCTCCCCCAAAAAGAAACGAAGAAGAAAAGTTAATGAAATTGGGGATAACAAGCCTTGAGCAGAAAATGTGTTGCCAAATGCAGCCTTGGCTTTTTGGGGGTAGGGCTCCACGTGCCCGCTTGAACCCTCGCCGAGATCAGGACATTTGGGAGGGGGGGGGGGGAGGGGGCGGGACCAAACTTCCGCAACCCGGGGCTGGGCGAGCGGTACCGTTGCAGGGCAGCACCAAAAGAGGGAGATTCCTCTATAGTGAAATGTCAGGAAATCATTTGATGCGCATCATCTAGACGCTAGAGTGAGATCCTTCAACCAGGCCTTTCAAACGTCTACAAGTTTGGCTGTACTGTCAGCCTCGAATCTATGAAGCGCGCGGAGCCCAGAAACACATGATGAGAAACCTATAGACTTCGTCCACAGGCCAAAATATCGTGGGGGTGGTTGGCTAGCAATGTCAAATTGATTGCAACAACTGTAGCGTGACTCAACGGGGCCCCATGCGCACTAACAAGAAGCCACAGCAGTCGCAACCAGGCGCTTTGGTGAAAAGTAAAAGGCTGACATGGAAGCAAATAAAGGGGGGAGAGCAAACAACACTTGCCTGAACATGTCCAACGGGCAGTTGCAGGGTTGTTTGTCGTTAATCTTCCAACTTGTGATAGCAAGGAAGCTTTCACTTCAAGTGGTGAGTTGCTCATTGGGAAGGCTTTTCTTGCCATGATGTTGTTCCTTGACTAGGAAATCCATGTCTTACGCCGGGCTTTGGAACGAACGTAAAGCATGCAGACAGATGCGGATTTCTCTTAAAATGGGGGAACCCCAAGATGATTGGCTTCCCTTTTAAACCAACCAAAAGGGGGGGTCCAAAAAGTGACAGACCCAAGAGGCCCCGCATGGCTTTGCAATTTCCCCCATGCGCCGGGAGTGAACAAATCCGCCTTGAGGCGGTGATCATGAGCCGGGCCTTCCATGTGCCCAAAGACAGCGACCGGCTGGCGCTGATCCCCATCGTGGCTCAGCGACCGGATCTTTCTGGGGCACTTCCCCAGTTGTGCAGTGGCACTGCCCCGGTTGTTTAGTGGCACCCTCTTGGTTTGGTTTACCAAGAATGGTCAACCGTGAGAAGGGGTCCCTATTTTCTACCGGACGGGTCACCTGAACAACTGCGCGCATTTGGAAGCCCGCTGCCCATGTTTGCAACCCATTGCCATGCGGTGTTTCTGAATTATTTCTCGGGCTCCCTCGAGATGCTTGCATGAGGGGTCCTCAGGATGGCTTTCGACTGCTTCTGATTGAATGCAACATTAAAGCGTGAATGTAGTTCCGAGAGTGTCACTTTAGTCTTCGCTTTCCAGGGTTTACACATCTGAAGCCATGGCCAGGGGTGCGAACTTGAATTCAAGACCGCATTTGATTTCCTTTCGTTGCGTTTGGTAGTCTAATCCCTGGGACGAAACATTATTTTTCTAGGGGTTCAGGAGTCACAAACTCTTCATGACTCATTTGCTCACACGAACCATGCTCCCGCGTCAAGTAGCCCGGACCCATTGAACCTTCATACCCCCGTTTGATAGGCAGTTCCTGAGAAAGGCTTTGAAACCTCTGAGGACTCCTCATGAGGAGTCATTTTTGTGTCGTCTTCTGGTCTTTTTGCAGCAACTGTTTGAGGAATCAGCCGCAGAACATTCTTTAGGACATTTCCTGACGCTGCTGGGTTTGCTGGTTGTTTTGCTCGCCTGGTTTCCCTTTGTTTCCCTTTGAAATCCGTCCAAAAGGGGATCCATTGTTTTTGGGATGCCCTATAGAATTCGTGTACGCAGCTGTTAGTGGGAGGCAAACATCATAACTCATAGCAATTCTATAGGAATCAAAAGGGTCCCAATGATTTTCTACCTTCGGGTGGTTGCAACTGCGCGTTGAAATTCCCAGGGCTGGCTTCTACTTGGCCGCGTTTGCTTGTAAGGCAGGCTATAGACCTCACACTTGTTTACCAAATATGCCAGCCAATCGAGACGTTAGAGAGACAAGCAAGCAGTTTGGCACTTTTGTTCGGCCAATCCACGCAGGAAATGATGTTGGTATTAAGCGAGCAACGATTTTTGGGCTGTATTTGGCGGGCTGGGATTGCTTCTAAAAAGAAGCTTTACAAAGTCGGCAAACCTATTGATGCTTTCTATCCCGTTGAAATCGCCACTACTTCAGACAGGCTCAAATGGTCCAAGGCCATTTTGGGCCTTGCCTTACAAGGTGGACATCGCCAACCATGCGCCCACCTACCAAGCAGCCAACGCGGAGATCCGGGACAACCCAGACGGCAGCAGCACGGATGCATCCGGAGTAGTTCGGCCATTATAAATCCAAGATGCCCAGTGACCTTGGCAAAAAGGAAATCGGGGAGCCCTTTTTTTGGGCTACAGCCAGTAAGCAGCTTGAGCGCCTGTGTTTCTTTCCTTTGAGGTATTTCCATGGTCGCAAGCCGCGACATTGCCTCCAACGAAGAGGTCTGCATCTGCTATGGCGAGTACAGCAATGAACAGCTTCTCTTTTGCTACGGCTTTGTGATTCCAAACAATCCGCTCGAGCCTCAGCTGGGCTAAGCCAAGCTGATCGGATGGGAGCCAAGGAGCTGGGTGCATCTGTGGATTTGTGTATGTGCGCTTGTGTGTTTATGTTTTATTGTGTTTTTGTAGTCTGTATTGTTGTTTAAGTTTAGTGCGCATGTGTGTGTGTGTTTGCGCATATGTATGCGCGTGTGTATGCGTGTTTATACACAATGTATATAAGCATATCTATTCAGTTGTTTATTTACTTGTTTATTTAGTCAGCTACTTGGTTGATTGTTTACTGTCTAATTTGTTTATGTGTTTATATATATATATTTGTTTATATAGTGAATTACTCAGTTTATGTTTCTAGTTAGTTCGTTAGTTAGTTTGTTTGCTCGTTTGTTTGCTCGTTTATTTGCTCATTTGTGCACGTGAAGAACGCCTCCCCCATGCGCCTGAGGTGCCAAGGTCTGCTTTGCCCCTTGCCGGTGCCGGACACGGCGGGCCGAGCCCAGCTGCTGCAGCGCGCGCTGCGGAGGCTGCGGGCGACGTCGAAGGTGCCGGCGGAGGCGTTTGCAGCGCTGCGCAGTGGCAAGGACAAGCCAGGGGAGTTCCACGTTGTTTTTGTTTGCTGTCTTTGTTGTTGTTGTTGTTGTTGTTGTTGTTGTTGTTGTTGTTGTTGTTGTTGTTGTTGTTGTGGTTGTTGTGGTTGTTGTTGTTGTGGTTGTTGTTGTTGTTGTTGTGGTTGTTGTTGTTGTTGTTGTTGTTGTTCTTGTTGTTCTTGTTGCTGTTCTTGTTGTTCTTGTTGTTCTTGTTGTTCTTGTTGTTCTTGTTGTTCTTGTTGTTCTTCTTGTTGTTTCTTTTTTCTTTGTGTTGTTGTTGTTGTTGTTGTTGTTGTTGTTGTTGTTGTTGTTGTTGTTGTTGTTGTTGTTGTTGTTGTTGTTGTTGTTGTTGTTGTTGTTGTTGTTGTTGTTGTTGTTGTTGTTGTTGTTGTTGTTGTTGTTGTTGTTGTTGTTGTTGTTGTTGTTGTTGTTGTTGTTGTTGTTGTTGTTGTTGTTGTTGTTGTTGTTGTTGTTGTTGTTGTTGTTGTTGTTGTTGTTGTTGTTGTTGTTGTTGTTGTTGTTGTTGTTGTTGTTGTTGTTGTTGTTGTTGTTGTTGTTGTTGTTGTTGTTGTTGTTGTTGTTGTTGTTGTTGTTGTTGTTGTTGTTGTTGTTGTTGTTGTTGTTGTTGTTGTTGTTGTTGTTGTTGTTGTTGTTGTTTGTTGTTGTTGTTGTTGTTGTTGTTGTTGTTGTTGTTGTTGTTGTTGTTGTTGTTGTTGTTGTTGTTGTTGTTGTTGTTGTTGTTGTTGTTGTTGTTGTTGTTGTTGTTGTTGTTGTTGTTGTTGTTGTTGTTGTTGTTGTTGTTGTTGTTGTTGTTGTTGTTGTTGTTGCTGTTGTTGTTGTTGTTGTTGTTGTTGTTGTTGTTGTTGTTGTTGTTGTTGTTGTTGTTGTTGTTGTTGTTGTTGTTGTTGTTGTTGTTGTTGTTGTTGTTGTTGTCCCCCCCTTTTTGTTTCCTTTTTCTTCCCACATTTTTCTTGTTTTAGGGATCCCCAGAAAAATGGTCTCCAAATGGGTGTTTTTTTTGGGAGGGGATCGCTTCCCCAAATGGTGGTTTCCTGTTGGTTTCCTTGGTCTGCAAATGGCGGGGGGGGGTCTGGTGCATTCCCCCGTTTATGTCAAAGAGGGTTCAAATCCAGGGTTGAAAGGGACACCAACCACCATTTTGGGGGGGATCCCTCTACTTTTACACTGGTCAGGTTTACCCTTAATCGGTGGTTTTGATAGCTGGCTTGGGGATTGGAACCCCTAGTTCTTGTCAGGGGTTGGAAATCACCTGTAGTTTCCAAACTACAAATTTGGGGAAAGCTGATAATGGGCGTGCGTCTCAAAACAGGGATCATCAAACATGGGCTGTTTCGATGCGGATTTCCTTGGAAAGTAAAATAAAAAGGGGTCCACCATGTTTAGAGGATTTGGACCCCCAAAGCCGCAAAGGGTACCATACCCTCAAAAGAACCGCCAAATGCTTTGTCTTCAAAAGGGCGAAATGGGTTTGTTTTTGGTTGAGGGCACTTTTTTTGGGGTGTGGTCTAAAGAGAAACCAAAGCAGCAATTCTGGCAACCCCTATTTTCAGACAGGCCCAAGTGGTTCGTCTCGCATGTTTGGTTTTATTTGTTTTCATTCACGGGGGCAGAGCGAGATCACCATGAAGCAAGTCCTTTACTTTAGGACTCCTACTTCAGGTTTTGGAAATCGTGCTGGTGTTCAACACCAGCAGATATCTTAGGACTTCATGCTCGGCCATAGCGAGGGCAACCTTTCTCACTACGCCGAACGGACGTGTTCCCCCCCGGACTTGAGACCGGTGCGTTGGGTTTGAATGGCAGACCCACGATCGGCCACCTCTGGCCATATGTTCCTTGGTTTGGATTTCCCCAGTTGCTCAGTGGACTATGCTTGCTGGCGCGATTGGGAATGACCCAGGGTTTGGGGGGGGGGGTTACTGCCTTCCTTGCTCTTATCCGTCTTGTTGATTTCCAGAGGGCACTACTTGAACCCAGGGATTGGTTTCCCAACGAGAGAACCGGGTGTAAGTCTACCTTGGGGTAATCAGAATTATTGGAAACCCAGGGAAAAACATGGCTCCTAATCGGATGTGAACAAATGAGCATGTGTTGCCTCAGCTTTTGGCCCCCTTTCGGGCAATGAAAACCATTGGCCATTTACCACCCAGGAACTGTCAGCACCTTGCCCCAGATTTCAAATGAACACCCTGGAAGGACGCACCCAGAACCCCTTAGCTGTTCAGGACGGCGCCATAGAGCTGCTGTCGGCCCTCAAGGTATGGAACATGCCCGACGCTCGAATTTATCAGAGCGTTCCGCCTTCTTGGTTTGTTTTTCATGGTGACCCCGTCAAAAATAGTCAAAGGGCTCCAACATTGAAGGAAACAGGGACAACAGAAAGATACATGTGGGCCGCAACAAAGCTCGGCTTCAGCTGAATTAGAGGATCCAAATCCTGATATGGCAGGTGGGTTTTGGGCTCGTCCCTGAAAAGGCCCTCGTTTTTTGAGGGCAAGGGCGGGTGGGCCTTTGGCGCCTTTGGTTTGCGGGGTGAAGCGACCACCTGCAGGGAGAAAGTCTTTAAAGAGTGCCCGTGGGAGTGTGGATCTCCGCCCGTGGAACATTGGTTTTCTCCAGGGGGAGCACCTAAGTGGGAAAGTCTTGGGCATGGGAATTACGCAAAAAGGGTGGTGTGCGTGTCACAACCGTGAGCCCGCCACACTGACCAACAAAAAGCGAGTCTGCTCAAGATAGAACGAGTTCACTTCTTCATGCCGTTTTCATAAACGTGAGGACCTCTTATTGACACAGCATAGTGATAGGTTTGGCTCAAACGTCCTCAACTGTGAGCATGCCTCGCTACATCATCAGTGGGGACACCATCGAAGTTGCCTACGGCTATGATGACATGCTGGGGGCAGAACTCTCGAGTGTGTTCCTGCAAGTGTTTGACAAGCGCCTGGAGTATGACAAAACTGCTTCAGAGGAGGTGAATCGCATTGCCGAGCAGATGGGCTCTGGATGCTATTTTGCCTTGCGGACTGGCAAAGTGGGCACGGGCACAAAAGTAGGGCATAAGACCATGGCAGCATACTTGAAGCGCTTCGGAGTCACGCAGGAGCAGATTGAGTCTTTGCCACTGGAGGTGCCAAGAAAGCCCATGTCATGCCCAATATGCAAGGAGCCCGCAACTAAAAGATGTGGCAAGTGTGGATCCAGAGCTTACTGCTCGGCTGCTTGTCAACGGGAGGAGTGGAAGATCCACAAGGTATTTTGCGCTCTTCACCCTTTTCCCAGCAAACCGCCAGAAACGTATGTGACAGCGATGCTGCTTCCCGAGAAGGAGAAACAGCCTCGCATTGTCCATGTTCAAGCCGTAGCACACTATGAGAAAGACGTCAACGATAACGATGAAGAATACGTTGAACCAATTTTGACAGCAGCTCTTGGGACCAATATGTGTGAAAAGATTGACAGTCATTTGTTGCCTTCAGAGGTCATGGCACACTTGACCCATCCAATCCGGCTCTTCGGTCGCTCCGGTTTCTTGACCGATGGCTCAGCTCCGAACGCTTGTGTCGCCTACCTGTCAGAAGCCATGCCACGGGGCCAGAGTCTAGATGCAGGTTCTTGGAGGGGGCCATTGGTTGGCTTCAAGATTCAGCCCAGAGCTGAAGATCCGAACTATTTAGATCTCGAAACGCGCGATGTGCATGATGTTTTTGAATTAGTCCGACAATATGCTCGTTTGAGCCAGCACTGCGGTTGAGCCTGACGTGCGACTGATGGTCGAGGGATCCTTAGCGCTGGATCGTTGGACTTGGTGTCAAGGTAGAGTTGCTCAGAAAGACCGGAGGGAAAAAGGCAGAGAGAGAGAGTGCTACGGTTTTTGCCAATATGTCTACTCAACATTGCAGAGCCAGGGTTTCGCATCCGATCCCCGTAGCCCAGGAAGACGAGGCTCAAGCCATGCTCAAGGAGGCTGGCCCTTGGGCCCTCGGGGGTGTGTGAGCATTTTGGTGGGTGCTCCAAATGGGTGGGAGTGGCTGGTGTCCTTTTGGCACCCCTTCAAAACCAGAAGAGCCAGTTTCCCTGAGAAAAACAAAGGCAGCCAAATGGAAGAAACGAAGCATGTGGGTTATGCCAGCTGTTTCCACGATTGCTGGCTGAGCTTTTGCCGGAGTTGAAACGCATCTCCCATTTTTTTCTGGACCCGCTTGGATTCGAGGTACTAGTGAGACCGGGTACCTTATGAATCATTCCTCCACCAGGTTTGCAAACCACCTCTAGTCTTTACCAGGGAGGTTTCATTCATCCGGGTGGGACATTGAGACTCTCGCAACATACAACTTTAGGGGGCTCAGAAAAGGCAATACCCTTCCCTGCAAGATGGTTTAGGTGGAAAAACTCACCTGGAAACCGATTGGGAATTCATCAAGATTTAATACATTGTTAGGACCAATGTTCATGCCCAGTGCTTGGGAAATGTCCCATCCAGGGAAGTGCCATGCCTTTCATTGCTAGACTTGACGAACCTTTGCGTGTGTCCTTTTTTAGGGCTCCCCCTGGAAATGACTCACACGCCTCTCCTCGCCTTTTTGTCTTCTTTTGGTTTGGAGGGGGGTTCCCTCAAAGTCAGCTACCAAGGAGAGGTGTCCTTTCTTTCCGCTGGCCACTGGAGGTCGGGGAACTTTTGCGATGCGGACTTACTCGCATGGAAACCTGACATATTTCTTGCTTGCTCCACGCAAAATTGTTTTCGGAACCCTTCCATGAGAGCTTCCTTCAGATCCTTTCCCAGCGATGGGTTTGTTATCGCGAGTTTTCGTGTTCATGTGAAGCCATGCAAAAAGAGATTCCTCGCACTCATCCTTGAAAGTCCCTTACTTTGCAGGTTCCGAAATTCAGGTTGGCAAATTGGGACAGTTTTTTGCGGCGAAAATGATCATGACCCCTTTCGTGTATATCTTTAAACACTTAAGTGGGACTATACCTCCAGGACCACACCTGAACATGCCGTGATTTTTCAATATACCCAGGACCACACTTGAACATGCAGTGATTTTTCAACATACCTCAAATGGGGGGGCCCAAAAAAATCCGTTTGGCTTCCCTGTCCATAATTCCACGGCCGTCAGTAGGTTGCAATGGCCCTGGCCATTGGCTCCGCCTGGTGAGAAAATGTCGCTACCACTGAAAGTCACCACCAGTGAACCAGTGAGTGTGTGTGTGTGTGTGAGTTTTGTTGGCTACGCGATGTAATACGCGTGCCACGTTCTTGCATACAAGGCTTGCTACCCCATTCCGCGCACAGTCCGCGAGTGCGAGCCGATTCACCTTCTGCGGGCCAGGGCATGGAGATCACGCCGGGATTTCAGGCCGGGCTCCAAACGGCGCAGCCGGGTTCATGGCAAATCTGGCCGTGCTAAGCGGAATTTTGCTATTTGGAGGGGTTTTCATGGGCTGGGTGAAGGGTATATACCCCGATTTTTTCAGGGGGACTGGTTTGGGTAGTGACACGCTGCTGGTACCTTTGTTCAAGAAGCCGAAACGCACGGGATCATGCACAGTTTGTGAATCCTGGGGTGGCAGGGTTTAATACTCATGAATTATGGAAGAGAAATCAAATAGAAAGCTAAATGAACATAAGAGACAAATGAATGTGAAAGAAGATCTGCTTCCTACCTCTCTCGTGACCGTATCCTGTCTCATTATTTGCTACTTTTGGATTGGAAGGCAGGTGACATGAGAATGAAAGTGAGATAGAAAGAGAGGCTAATCGCCTACACCCCAACTCCATTCACGATAACGATAAACCAGATATGACATGTAAAGACTAATAGTGGGCAGCTCGGGCCAACAATTGCTTTATGTTTTGTTTAACCAAATCATCAGCAGGCCTGTGTTGGGGTAATTCGTGGCGCTTTCTTTTTCCAGGCAAGACTGTAGGCCCGCTCCCCCTTGTCACCGTCCCCAAAAGAAGGCATGTTGCTTGCTTTCGTTCCTTCCTCGCTCAAGTTTCACGGGAGGGCAACTAGAAGGGGCTAAGCCATTTCTACTAGTATACTCCCTGGAACTGTGACCAAGGCTATTCCTTTTGTGGTACTAAAAACCCTTCTTTTTTTGGGCTGGGGGGTTCCCCCCACATCCCCACTTGCGTTTAAACGAGCACCTGCCACGTCGGCACAGCCACCACGGCGACGCAACGCCTAGGAGTTCGCCTCCGCCTTGGACTTCTTGGAGGCCTGGCGCAAGGAGATCCCGGCCGGCGAGGCCGGGAGAACGATGGCCGGAGGAAGAAGCCGCGGACGGCTTGGGGGAAATGAGGGGAATTTCGGGGTGGGGTGGGGGGGTGGGGGGGGGGGTGGGGGAGGTTGGATGCCATTTGGGGAAGATTAGGCAATTGCTTTTGGGGTGGGGTGAGGGGGGAGAGGGGGTTGGATGCCATTTGTGGGAAGCTGGGGGCAAATCCTTGATAAATTGGGCGGGCGGGGAGGGGGGTTGGATGCCGCAAATCGACCGGAGCTGACAGGTTGAGCAGTCCAACTGGTTGCCACTGTTTGTTTGTCGCCTTCCGTTCTCGTCTCCTTGCACCGCCACTCCTATTTAGTTTCATTTTCGTCTTGGCGATAAAGCAGTGTAACCTTATTCATGTTCAGGTCCTTTGGGCAAGTAAGGCTACGCAAGGGATTGCGCTTTGAGCACTCACAGCCGCGGCGAGAACATGAATCCATAAAGGGCACATCATCCATTGCGGGGGAGGTAAGTAACTTTGACACCGGGAGGACTCACTCCCTGAGCTCCTAGACTTTGCCTTTTGGTTGGTTAGGCTCTCAGGATATTGTCCACTCAGGACATGAGTGTATCGTAGCTTGCTGGATTGATGCGGGATGTTCGCCCCGTGGAGGATTCCCCGGTTTTCGGCGGCACCATCGAATCAAAGAGTTCCCAGTTCTATTTCGGCTAGCGGTAGGAGTGTTGGTTGCTCCAGGTTACCTGCTATTGTTCCTGGAAGAAATTGTGTCCATGTTGAGCATCGCCAACGCGGATGCATCTTGCTTTGCTTACTTTGCCGATTACAGCAGGGTGGGCTGGTGACAGTAGTCATATATGAAATCATTTGTTTTGGGCCATCCTGGGCGACTCCCATTTGAACTGGCAAACGAGATATGAATGGGAATCGGCTACTTTGGTATCAGAGAGGGGGAGAGAGAGGGGGGGCACACATTCCAACTGCGCTTGTACTTGGCCGCCTCGCTAGGATGCTGAAAATGCCGGGGAGCATACACCCAGAAGCCTATGTTTATTACACAAGGGGTATGGTCCCGTACTAAGGCAACACCAAATGGAGGTGGATTTGTCCAGGATTCGTTAAAAGATCATGTTGGCCACACCAAAATGCAGCTTTAGCTTTGAACCTCGGTTGTCTCAGATCTCAGGATGTCGAGAGCTACAAGCCGGCGCGGCTTCTGCAGAGCGAAGCCCGTGAGCTCATCGAGAACGCCATTGCGGAGGTGTCAAGTCAGCTACCGTGGCCGCTCTACCTGCGATTCTGCCTCCGGAAGGTGATCTTCTGGTGACTCTTGGCTGTTAGCTTGGTTCTGTTGGTTCGTCTCAGCTGGCGAACGCCTTTTGACTCTCAGGTGTTCTTCGCTTTGACCTTGGCTTTTCCTGGTTGAAAGCGACCGGAATTTCTGGCTCTCCTTTTGCTACGAAGGTTAGGGGCCTTTGAGTTTCCAAAGGGGGTCAAGAGGCAAAGCCAAGCGAATCCAATTGCTGCCCCAAAGTTTCCTCAGCGAGGACGACTTCCGCCTGGCATCGGAATGCGTTCGGTGCGTACCATCGGCAAGCCCTCACCTGAAAGCCAGCCACGTCAACGAAGCAGGCGGAAATGTGACATGCGCAAAGGCAGGGTTTCTTGTTAAAATTCAGGGTCAAGCATTGCAGCTTCATGTTGGCCATTTAAGCTGCTGCAATGCTTGAGTACAAAACGCAGGGGCTTCCAGGGTCAATGTTGCGGTTGATGTGGTGATTTGCTTTCTTTGCTTTGTGTGTGTGTGTCATATTCTGCAAGGGGACCGTTGGAGCCATTGTTGTAAGAAGCCTGCGTAAAGTTCTGCATAAACCAGGGTTGGGTGGGTAGTTGGCTGACCCATGGTCGGCTGGAAGTTGGACTTGCGGTTTCGCTGGAGCTTCAGAGCTTCAGCCAGCTTGGCCTGGCCCAAGCTTCAGACAATTCCGACGATCGGACTTGCCATGTAAACAACTTCCCCAGCCGGCGGACGTCACATTTTGGGGGAAGATAAGTTGAGATGTGAACAACAACTGTGTTGCTTTCCTGATCAATCTGGTCAGAAAGTGAGGAAAGTGAGCTAAGATTGGGGGACCCCAAGATAGATGGGCTTCCTTGAGGCGGCCTGACAAGAAGACACTGCTGATCCTTGGGTGAACTGGAGCCACCCCTGGGGTCTCCAAACCTGTTCATAGTTCAGTGTCGAAGTTTGGTCAGTTTTTGATAGGATTGGAAGGGTTGGGCCAAGAAGAGGGGACATTTTTTTTGACATCCAGGGGGGCGCTCGTGGGTGTGACGTTGATTCCCCTGTAGCTCAGCCAATTCCATTCCAACAGGCTGCACTATTCAGATAGAGCCTCCTCGGAGAGAAAACAAACCATCCCAACATAAAACCACAAGCACAAATATAAATACAATTAACCTCTGGGCCTCCAGACAAGGGATAAAAGCTGGTGTTTCGGGCGATGGCAGCGCGGCCCCATGGCGGAAATGCATGTGGTGGTATCCACGCAGACGGCCACTCGGCGTATGGTTTGTTCACCCCCCTGGGCTCTTGGACTACTTTGGGTCCTGTGTGGTTGCTGGGGTCACGCCCTGGGCCATGGCAATCAAGAGCTGGAAACCATACGTTTGGGCAAGGCGGTTTGGCAAACGAAAGGTTTGGACTGTTTTTGATTGCTGCCACGTGTAAAGCATGGCGATCCCAGCTGAGGAACCGCTTGATGGATAGGCCTGACCATCCTGAACTTCTAGGGGCGGCACCTTCCAAATGCTCCAGGTTTTGGCAATCGGGGCTCGATATTTGCTCCATGCGTGCCCACAGCTGAACTTGCTAATTTCCACAAAGCACCGACCTTGTGTCAAATGAGATCGGCGAAACAGGTGCCAGAATGGTGTTCGTCGTGTGGATTCCTCCGTGGGAAAGTGCCAAACGAGTTCTAAAAGAGCGCCACAATCGATGGAATTCACAGATCGGTCATCTAAAGGTTGTCAAGCACGTTTGCCGGCCAAGTAATGCAGGCACCCCAATGTGATGCCCGTGTGAGCGCTCAATGCGGGTCTCCTGTAGAAGTGCGCTGCATTAAGGATCGTGCAGGGAAAATGTACCCTCCCCATGTTTCCATGGCACCTCACAGGCCCCTTGAGGAAATTGATGTCTTCCGGCACCCTGCTGCAACTGTCTTCCGTTCGGAGGGGAAAGGTAACTGTTCTGGTGCTCCTGTGGCCTGAGGATAGTGCAGGGAAAATGTAACTACTATGTAACCTACGGCACTCTCCTCATTCAGGTTCCGGTCAGGTTCCGGTACGGTTCCGCAGCTTGCCTACGGCCTGGGTGTGGGTCAAAATTCAACCAGGCGGTCGCAGGTTTTGGTCCATGTTGCCACTTGCCAGGGTTCCATTTGGGGGTTACCCTATGTTTGACCCACGGCGCGGCTCCGGTCCGCGGTCCGCATCGAGGTGGGCGATGACGCCTCGGAGCCCTTCTTCCGGGGCCCTTGGCAGGGCTGGCGCCAGGTGGCCCTGGCATACCTTGGCTGCGCGTTGGGTGGCATCAGGGCCTGGCATCACCTGGGGCATCACCTGGGGCATTTCGCCTGGCGGGTGTGGACTTTTCACCTCAGCCCTGGCATAGCTTGCGGGCTGAGGGTAACTTTTTTTGCCTGGCGTTTGTCAACGCCACCTTTTGGGGCCACTTGACGTGAGTTTCAGCTTATGGCATGTTCAGATTGGCGATATGTTGGCAACCCAACTCCTCAACTTGTTTGGGTGGAAAGTCGATGCTTGATCTTATGGCAGATGCTAGTCTGTCCTTGTTAGCGTCCCACCAATTGCGGATTGGGATTAGGGACGCCCTCCCCCGCATTTGAATAACCCAGCTTGTTGGTGAATACTTAGCCGCCAGAATGTAATTTCCCTTTCGGAAAGCATCAGGGAGAGCCGCCTTTGTCTCCTCAGCTGCCCAAGGCGAATCGACCTGACTGTTTGGGTGTATCATGTTAATGAAAGGCATACGCACCCATGGTCCAGTTGCTATGACGTCAGCCGAAGTTCGATCCTGGCTAGGTGTACAGCGCAGCTCGATATGGGTGTATGGCAGCCCGGAAGCCTTTCCATTGTTGTTCTTTTGGGCAAGTGAGCAGCTGAAGCTTCCAGCAGCTGGACCATGAACTCACTGACACGGAAACTTCGATGGCGCTTACAACTCAAGCAACTACATGTTTTGGCCTCTTTCGGCCCTGGCCAACGGCTTCTTTGGCGGTCAAAGAGCCTTTTGAGAAGAAACCGGTTTCAGTTTTTGGCCTTTGGCTTGCGGGAGAGCCTCCTGGGTGCTAAACTGCCCAACATCTCAGTTGCCCCCGGAAGGAAACCAAAAGGGGATCGAACAATTATCCATTTTCTTCGGACCTCCTCTTCGAATTGTCCAGACCTCCTATCTGTGTTGTTGACTCCGGATTTATAAGCCCGTGCTACTAATAGGGGGGGTGTTCCCCTCCCCACTAAACCCAGGGACACCCCTCTAGTAATAACCTGGGGTTTATTGATCCGGGGTTCACCCACATTCCGAAGCCAGGACTGGGACGGGGAGATCGGCTTCCGCTTCCGCGCAGAGGCCACGTTCCTCATCACCTCCCTGGGCAGGCGGGCGCACGTGCCGCATACGCACATGCGTCAGGGGGGCCAAAAGGGGGCATGTAAACAGTAGGAAACCCACACAGGCAGTATTTCCTTTGGTTTCCGTTTCAAACACCCAAAAGAGAAGGGTGATGTCGGCAGATGATTGATATTCCCGATCCCCGCCGACTGCCAGCCAATACTACTTTTATTTGGGTACCCACAAGGGTTGCCCAAAAGACTCCTTATTGTTTTTGGGGCGTCCCTTTGCGGCCCAAAAATTCGAAAACATACAAACAAGCAAAACTTGAATTTATCAAAGCTATTGCCACTCAAGGGTTGCCATTTTCCAGGAATCCGGGAAACCACAATCTTTATTACAGCTTGTTAAAGAAACAAGGTTTCACAAGCTTGTAAAGAGTACCCCCGCCTTCAAGGCTGGCCCCCCTCCGAACAACACAAAACACCCTCTGATTAATCCTGGCCCCCTCCAGCCCTGGAAAATAGTCCTATTGCAGTCCTATTGGCCAGACAGGGGTCCACACAAAGAACCGGGGCCACCTCGAAAGTCTGGTTTTTCCAAAACCTTATCGAAATGGTGGAGGGGTTGATCATGTTCCCCAGTCAAAAACATCACACACACACCCAAAGAATATCAGCGGCACCCTGGGCTGTGTTCAGGGGGACCCCCAGGAGCAAAAGAATCATTTTCAGCCAAACGCCCAAGCATTCCGACATCAGCCTTCTTGCGGCAGTTTTGTGCGTTGCACCAAGATTGGGCGTCAGAGTTGTTTGGGGCGCGCATGGAACAACGGCCTTGATTCGCGCTTATCTACAGTAACAAAAGGGATGACATTCAATACACACACCAAACTGCAATCTGGAAATGGGGTTTACTCACCAAGATCTAATGTCACTTGGGAAAAAATAAGTATTGACCATGGCTTATTCGTAGTTCTCATGTGTAGGTTACCTTTGTGACATGATGCTGGTTGTGCTCAATATATAACTTCTTGAGTTGGCGCAACTTGAGCTTTTGTTGGTAGGTCTCTTCATCACTTTGGACCAAACCCTGCAAATGAAGCTGTCCCGGCCAGATGGTCAGCTCAGCAAGCCTGGCAGAAGAGTGAGAACTCGTGGAATTCATGAGCCACTGCAATCTGAAGTCAGGGCAATTTCATAGGTTTTATTTTTTTGAGATGGGGCTCACAGTATGCTGCACTAATCGAAAGGTGGGCATGGGTCAAAATTAAACCACCAGGGGACCGCATTTACCACCCGATTTTGGGGTACGCTTTTTTGACCCACAGAACCGGGTGAAGGTTCCTTGCCAGGATTCCACAGTCACAGGTTCCGATCTAACGGGGGCCTGATGGTTGAAACCTCCCGGAGAGGTTTGTGGCGGAGGAGTCCTTAGCGGAGGATGCTGCACCTCGGTTTCGTGGGTGTAACCGTGACCAGGTCCCCCAGCTAGGTGCCCTTCTCTCCCCTTTTTTGGTTGGGAGGGTTCCCCTAGTAAAATAGACTACAGAGAAAAGCGTACCCTTATTCTAGCCTCTCTACTGGAGGGCCTAGATGAAGCCCTTTGCCTATGCCTTGCCAGAGTGGAATTGGAGGGAACTCTCCCCGTTTCTTGGGTTGGACCCTCCTTTTTGGGGGAATCAACTTGACTCTTGCCCCTGTCGCTGCGGCGGACGCCTGGAGGGTTGGCAACAAAAAACTGAAGTAGCGATTGGCCAAACCTTCATAGGATCCACTACCCCCCCGCTCTCCCTTGTGAAAACAAGCATAAGGACCAGTAAACGCCTTATTGAGGCCGTATGTGGAGACCAGGGTTTGCGTTTCGAGACTGCATCGGGTCAAGAGCCTTGTCGAAACCACACCCCAGTCAAATGGTCCTGGGGATGTTATGAGCTTCGCCGAGGAAGTGACCCTGTGGGCAGCAAAGACGCAGAAGAAGCTTGGCTCAGTGACGGCCCCTTGACACGGCCAACCGCGGGCAAGGCGGTTCCAGGGGTCATTAATCCGTCCCCACCCTCTAAGTTATGCATGGAAGGAAGGCTTTCTTGAGTTGATGCGGTCAGTTTGTAACTTGTTCGGGAGGGTGTCCCTTGAAAGAAACTGCCTTTTTGGTTGCATGGAAATCCACTAGCAGTCTGGGGGTCTCTCCCATTAAAGAGGGGATGCTCCAAGTTGTGTTTTTGCTTTTGCTCTCTGTTTGTTTTGGGGGGGGACACGCCCAAAAAAAGGCAGGGCACTGTGGCAGTGAGGCCTACCCTGCGGTGCCAAGGTCCAAGTGCATTTCATGGTACGCTTTGCCAGTGGCTGAAAGTGGAGCGAATGAGACTCACTTGCTCGCGATTTAACCTGCCTTCAGGTTCTTCATTCAGTGCTGCTGAAGCCATGAAAACTGGCCCGTTTGAATAGGAAGTTGAATGCTTTAGGCGGTGACCAGGCAAAACCGGCTCCAAGCTTCTATTTGCTGGATTGGATTTAGAGGACATGGGCAGGGCTGCCAAGCCCACCCCGTCGCCTCGAACCCAGTCCCTTTTTGTGTGTGGTTTCCACTTAAAAAGGCCAATCCGAAAAGGCCCCCGCTTCGGCTGCGTGCCGGGCATACACTCAGCGAGGTCGGCCCAAAGTCGGCGACGGTGGACGGCTATGCGTACTCTGAGGCGGGGCAAGGCGACAGGCTTCACAGGTCTTATGTCAACATCATGGTATCTAGGTCCCCCAGCTAGGTGCACTTCTCATCCCTTTTTGGGTTAGGAGGGTTCCCCTACTAAAATCGACTACAGAAACAAGGGTTCCCTTATTCTAACCCCTCAACTGGAGGACCTTGGTATTTGATTCTTGCCCAAAATGCAATCTAGACGACTCCAGTAGTACTCCTTATGTTTTCCTGACGCTGAATTCCCAAGGAAAGCATGGAACGGCATCGGAAAAGGAATGGGAAACGCAGGGGACAAGTGTAGGGATAGCATTGGAGTGTACAGAACCGTGGGAAAACCATGGGAGGACCATGGGAGGACCATGGGAAAGTCATGAGAGAACCATCAGAACCAATGGAAAAACGGATATGGACAACCATCAAGCCCAACACCCAGGGAATTACAACAGGAAAGAAGAGGAATTCCTGGCAAAAGAGCTTGTAGGGTTGTCTAAACATGGGGCGAGCCTCCATTTAAACCAACCCCGAAAAGGGTACCCTTAAAAACGACACCCTTTTGGGTACCCAGATATGTGTCAAAATAGGCGGACCCTGAACATGTTGGCGCTATATGTTCCCTTTGGACCAGCCTAGAAACAATGGTATGGTTATCAACCTCTTTGGGCTTTTAGACAAGCAATGTAAAGGTTCCCCTTGCCGGAGACATGACCATGAGCCGCACAACCACTTTTACGATGGCGCATACGCGTTCCTTTCCGGAAGGATCAACGGGTTCACTTTCATGTTGCAATTTCTACTGTTGCTTTTTGAGCGAGCGGCCAACGAGGCAGAGGCTGGAACTGAGAAACTGCCGGCATTCCGCCGCTGTGGGGTGTTTGGGTGGGGTTCCCTTACTTACCCTTTGCGTGATGTCAAACATCACCTTGAGGGATTGGTCAAAAATTTAATCCAACCCGTTATTTCACTCCTTGTTGCAGTGGCGTCCCACTAGGGATTACATATCAAGGCTTCGGCACCCCATTTTGAACAGGCCGGCCTTTGGGCCAGCCTTTGGGAAGCATTTGGGCAAATTGAAAGTGAGTTCTCTTGGCAGGGCGACCGACCTCTCAAGTGAAGCATAACCCTATGGACAGGTACAAGCTGCTCTCCCCCAGGAAGCTCAAAGACTTGCGTTTGAGTGGGAGTAAAAGGAGTACCAAACTAAAAGCCCCACAGTTTTAAACTGTCCCCCCCTGCTGTTGGACATGCCGATTTGCTCGTGGAGGACCTGCTTTTGGGTCTGATGTCAGCCTGAAAAATATGTCACTCGCAGACTGCTGACTTGCTGAGCCCAAAAGCAGCCAAGCATCAAGCAGACGCGCTGGGACATTTAGTGGAACCAGCGTAGACATGTTTTTGAATAGGTGCGAGATGAAGCTTATTGTTGCTTTGTGATGATTGCAAGAAAGCCAACCGCAATGCAATTACTAGGGCTATCGGAAAAGATCGCGGGGGGTCCTTTCACTTCCCCTCCAACCCTCCAAAACCCACCCTTCGAGTGGGATTTGATTTGAGGACATGTCAAGCTTCTTGCTTATGAGAGGCCGCAGACACGCCTGGTTGAGTTGACTTATACGTTTGCTGCTGGTTGGTTGCCGAACACATAGTGAAGTAGAAAAGCATCTCCTCCCCTCCCCGCCGATAACCACTTGGCTGTTCAACCCTTTGACGTCGCCATGGTTCAAAGGGACAAGCCCCAGTTTCCCCAGTTAGCTATGGCGCATTCTTCCCGCTTCTCCGTTAGGTTTGGGACGACATTCGGGGGGTTGTGAGATGGTTGAGTTGTGGCTATAGCCATGGCTTTCAAAGGGAGCCAACATGAGCCAACCCCAAGTTCCCCAGTTCCACTTGCTTAAGAATGCATGTATTTTATTTTCCCCTGTTGGTGTTAAAGGAATCTATGACTATTTGTTTTTCTCCAGGCTGAAGCAAATGGAAGTGATTGCCATGGTGATGTGCCTACGTGGGTCGACCACCCAAGCAGATCTCAGCCAGGTCTTCCCGAGGATTGTTGCACGGCTGGGCCAGGAGTACTGCCTCACCCAGACTTGCCGCCGCGCCTCGGGGCAAAGCCTTCCAGGGCTAACCTCCAGTTGGTGAAATGAATATGAGTTGTTCCCCTTTTGACTGGAAAGGGTTCCCCTTTACTTGCTGAAATATATTTGTTATGGTCCCTTGTGATGGTCCCTTTACTTACTGGAATGTTGTTTTTAGGTTTTTTCCTTGAGGGGGCAAAGACGCAACATGGAAGCTAACGTTTTCCCGTGCATTTCCCGATCTGATTGCCATACCGGTTGGAAGAGGGCCCAAACTGAGCCGAAAGGTTCGATTTTCGCGTGAGCCTCTGTAGGCTTACAAAGCTGCGATTTTTCCAGCTGGATCGTTTGGGTGCCAGCGAAATAACACGGAGAAAGCTAAGGCGAGATTCTCAGAATGGCTGCCCAACCTGAAGCGAATGAGTGCAATGAACGGGTCAAAGCCCAACGGGATCGCAACAAATCTTAAAACGTGCAGCTCAGCCGATGCTCAAACTTACTCAAACCCTCGCAAACGAGTGCGATCTGGGCGCGTAGTTGTTTGTTGAAAGGTACCGTTTGTGGGGCGGGTTTCAAGGTCAATCCAAAGGAAAGCCATGATTTGTTGGGGTCTCCCGCGTTGATCTCTGTCGAGATGATGCTACATTTTCAGGTTGAGATTCATTTTTTTGGGGGGGAGCTGAGGCAGCGTTGGCTTGCCATTCGGCTTTAAGAAATTCTATAATTGTCAATGTCGGAATTGTTCATAAATGATTTACACCCCAGGTTAAGCAAGATTCATTTTGGCCACCGATTTCTTAGGGTCTCCAATGGTGCTCGCCCGTTTACCTTTTTTTTTCCTGGCCCTTTGGTTGCAAGTGAGGTAGATGTACAAAACCTGACCTGGCATCTCTTGTTTTGGCCGTTTCTTTCCGGCCAGATTCCGGATCTTCCGAGAGTGTTAGTTATTCTGGGGTCTCCACCCTCCACCCATGTGTTTGATTTTAAGGTTGACTGAACATGGAAGAGAGCCTGAAATTCATGTCTCAGTGCAATCAGAGGGGGGGGGTTGGCAACCAAGAATAGGACCTTGCAACTGGACGGACATCCACCGAGTTGCTCAGAGCGGGGGGGTCTTTTTGCCACCTTTTGCGAGAAATTTGGCGACCCCTTTAAAAAAGAATCCTTCACTACGAGGGGGTCGATGAATGTTCCACAAAAGACCCCCCTGGCGAGTCTGGGATCCACACACAAAAACTCCCCCCCCCCACCGCGCCTTTAGGCGGGATGAGGGACCCTTGGCCAGATCACTGCGCAGAGCCTGCGGAGCTCCAGGAGAAAGCCCTGGCCTTTGCAAGGCCCCGGCGCCGGTTGTTGTTGTTTTTTTTGTTTTTTCTCCTCCCGTGTTTTTTGGTTCCCCCTGTTTTTTCTTTCTCCCCCCGTTTTTTTGGTTCCCCCCGATTTTTTGGTTTTCCGCTGCAGGCCAGTGAGCCATGTCCTTGATGTCTCACTCCCTAAGTTCCTGGAGCTCCTGCGTTTTTGGGGAAGATCAGTCTAGTGCTATAAAAGAAGTTCAGACTTTTTGGTTGGCCGGAGGTGAGTTGTGCAAGTATTTTTGGGAGGGGGGTTCGTTTCAGATTCAACATCCCGGAAAAAAAGAGAGAGGAAAAAACAACAACAACCATTGTTTTGAGACATTCCGTTTAGCCTTGTTTCCAGATGTCAAAGGACAGATCGTATGAACCTTGTGCATGAACCCATGGACATGTCAGCTCGGGCTCCTTCATTTGGCCTCCGACACTTCAGCCATGAGTATTGGTTGGCTGCTAACGCAGAAGTTGTGGGCTCATACCATCGGTTCATACATGCAGCCTTTGAAGATCCTTGTGTGTGTTGTCTTCAAGGGACGGTGGCACGGATACTCGTGCTAGAGCAAACTGGCCAAGTAAACACAGACTTATTCTCTTATGACCATAGCTTCATTTGGCTTCAAAGTAGCTAACAACCCCATTCAAAGTATGTAGACACCTGCAGTACTTGAACTCCGTAGGCTGGGCAGGGCTGTTCCCTCACGCAACCCGCAGATTCGGGCGCATGTGCAGCGATTGGACCTGGAGCATATTCGGTTGCCTTGGTTTGGCTGGAAAGAGGCAAGTCCAGTACCTCTCCCCCCCCCCTCCCTCCCCCCTCTCCCCCCCTCCCCTCACCCCCCCCCCCCAGGCCCGCATTCGCAGACTTTACCCCACCGTGGACAAGACAGGAATCGTCCTGAGCCAGGGCTCCTTTGCGGCGCAGTTGCCCAAAGCTCAAGGAGCCCAGCTGGGAAGTGTCCCACGTGTCGGGTCCAACGCGAGATACGAGCAATTGGGGCCTTCAAAGCACCTTCAAATGGCTGTGGCTCAAGGAAGTGGTATCAAAATGGCACCTTGGTAAATGGCGCCAATGACGAAAAACCCGCGTAACCCCAGCTGCTTAATTTCGAGCCATGCCCAAATGGTGTCCTTGACCAGCATTGGAATCCCAATGTATGGCGGGCTCATAGTGATGGTGCTGAATAAGATCTAACTTGAGCATCCCTGACTTCATATTTTGACTATTCTCACTTCCTGAGTTCATAAGCTTTAAACTTTTGGGGAAGACCATTCTAGTGGTAAATATAAGGGTTGGACTGTTTTTGGGCTTCTCGTGGTAAATATGAGATTTGGACTGTTGTTGGGCCATCCACTCAGCAAGTGACTATTGTAACAGTTGGGGATGGGAACCCCTTCTCACTGAGTCACTGGCCTTCAGCGGCCCTTTTTTTTGCGCCAGGTTCTTGGGCGGCGGCCTGGCAGCTGGGGGGGGGGCGCCTTTTCGACCTTTGAAGCTGCTGGGTTGGTCCGTTTTTCGGCCTTGGTCCGAGAAAGGTGACCTTTATAGACAAATTGTTGCAGAGGAAGTTACGCTGCTCGCCAGCAAGAGTGTTCTATTATTGCAGCCATGCCCATGAGCCTTTGAAAGGGTCACGATGGCACATTCGGAGACGCCGAAAGAAATGGCCCGCGGGGAGAGCAACATATGTGCCACTCCCCAGTCACCTCTATTAGGCTTTAAAGGCTGAGGGCTAAGTATTTTGAAGGCGCTAGTGCATGTATGTTTCTTTGGATTCGTGGTTCCGTAGCGGCTGTATAGTTGTATATTGTACTCTCTCCCCTTTACACAAAAGGAAGCGACTCGAAAAGAGTTTGCTGCTATGCTCGGTACTTTTGAGAGATTGCTTTCCCCCTTTGGGGTTTCCTCCATGTTTGTTTTATCCAGCAAGCACCCAACATGTTGCCGAGAGTTTGTGCTTGGCCAAGGTTAATGACTTCAGGAAAGCCGCGGAGTTAGTCTAGTTGTGGGGTCACGGCGCCATGGTCAAAGCACTCTTGGGTAAATGGAGGTGGTCATCAATCCCCATGACCGTAGCCATGGCCCCCGCAAATATGGGTGGTTGCTTGCAGGAAACTAAGTTTCATGTGTCTGTCTTTAAAGGCGACCCAAAGTAAAGACGGCCATTTTGGGGGGGGGCGTTGGCCTAGTTTTCAGACATACCCAGACAGGTGTGACACCTACTTTCGGAAGCTCAATAATGCGTTGTTTGTTTCCCATTGCAACAGCCCTAGCAAGGGTATTCTGAAACAAGATACGCGCATGGAGGGCTCTTTGAATGAATAAGCGTTTTTGAGGCTCCCCCTATCTAGAATCATGCCATGAGCTTTCGGTATTCAGACGCCGAAGGCGTCTACGACTTCCACGGTGGCTTCCCAGCCTTTCAGGACATGGACGAGGGCCGGCGCGCGGGGACACATGGCACGCACACTGCATGCGAGTTCATCCTCATCACATGTCGGGGGGTCGCCAGGTCTTCCTTTTTCAAGGTTTGCCGGATCTCCTTTTGGGTCCTTCTAAGGTGGTGTCCTTTGCGAGGGGGATGTGCAAGGGGGGTATACAAGGAATCGGGCCACTCTAAAGAATGGGATTGGGGTAGAAGGGGTGCTCGAAGGGCTTGCCTCGATAATTAGACTGGGGTTTGGCTTGAGTTACTTTCAAGCCAAGCCAACTTGTGATCATAGACGCCGAAAGTTAGTGTTTGTGTTAAGCCGCTCATACTTTCCGGTGGAATGAACCCCTTTCCCCATAGTGTGGCAGGGATTTGAATTCCACCTATGAAAGTCGTTAAGCAAGCATGCTGAAACCAAGGGCCCTCCTGCACGTCCTGCAGGTGCAAAGCAGGCCCCCAAGCAGAAACATGACCCTTGAGCTTCGCTGGTTGCTTGTTACACTTTTTACCCTGGATTGAACCCCGTGGATTAGCAGGAGTGGCTTCAAACGCAACAGCGCCCCAATCACACTCCAAGCGGCTTATGAGTCCTAGGTCCCTGTTGTCCCCTGATGTGTTCCCCAGGGAAAAGCTTCGGCAAGCCTCCAGAACGAAGTCGAGCCTTTGTGATGGTCCGCCCTTCCAGGGCTTTGGGCTGGGTGGCTTCCTGAGAATTGCTGGCCTGGGGATCGTGGTTACATTAGGTTCAGTGGGCCAGAACTGTTTTTGGTTGTGGCAAGCGTTGAGATGTGTTTCGCTTGGTATTTCACGTTCGACCCGTTAAAGACGAAACCTTTCCGTTGGTTCAAAGCGTTCGGTGCACCAAGACATGCTTGTGGAAGGTGACACTTTCCTGGCACCACATGGAAGTTCGCTCTTCACCAAGAAGGGGTTCTTCGGGCGACTAAACCTTCGGTGCCCACCAGATTCACGAGTTCTAGCCTTGAAAAGCAAATCAGAAGGCGAGAGCATTGGGCCACTGCCTTGCCAACGTGTCGATTTCTCCGGGGCCCGGGGCCCCTCTACTTCAGATCTTGTCAGACCTTGCCCTGTCTGGGTTCTAGTGGACGTGCCCGTTTTGCACAGGAGCATGTGCGTAGCACAAAGGATTTTTTTGTTAGAGCCGAGCTCAAGTTTAAGGGACCAACAGTTCAATGGCACACTGCCGACTCCGAGGATGCTCAACTTCAAGGCTATGCCCGGCATTGTGGCTTGCCTCAGCCGAAGAGGTTCGGCGTTGCTCATTCCTTTGCGCTCTGTGTCCTCCTGAAGTTTTTAAGGTCACTTGATGGTTGCTTCTCTTTGTTTTTGTGCTTTGCTCGCTGGGGTGTGGACGGGCGAGCTGCTTTTTGGCTGGCATCATTTGAAGGCTCGCCAAAATTATCTTTTGCGACCGCAGTTGGCATATTGTTGCCTTTGTCAGGTTCACCAAATGGAGTCTTTTTTTGGGAGCCAACCATTTTTGAGGCCCCCAACTTGGAGAGACATCCACCTTTCGACCAGCACGTAAACATCATGTTTTTGTGGCACCAAAACATGAGGTAGGTTGGTAACGAGGATCTCCCTCAAAAGAAGTCACACCGATATGAACAGATTGGCCCTTGATGCAGTGTGTTTTTGCACTGAGCCAAGCCATCTCATGCGTAAAAACGAGCGCACCCGCTGCTGGCATCTTGGCGAACAAAAAACATTATACAAGCAAAGCAACGGACTGACCTACCTTCCTACTTCTCGGCCAGCCAGCCAACCAACAGGTTTTCATAGGTTTTCTCTTTGGATATATGCCAAGCTTCCCCCGCAATTCAGAGCCTCAAAGCGCGTAAGGAACGCAAGTGGACCTTCACACTATCGAAGAATGGCTGATGCTGACTTTAGGCTAAAATGAGACTACCATCAAGCTGGATCGCCTCGCTTGGGTTACGAAGGCGATTCAAGGGGGCTATGACACCAATAAATGGGGGCGGGGGCAAGGTTGCTGGGCCCCCTATCTCCCTACAGATTCACACGGAACAAGTACATATGATATGCATATGTATATATTTGTACATATATGCACATTTGTCGAACAAAAATAGGTTTCTTCTCCCTCATTCGGCCGGCCGATGGGCCAAGGCGACCATCCCGATTCAGCCCAGCATGACAGTGTATGGGCCTGGGCCCCCCAGGGCAAGGAAGCAGCTTGCTTCCGTTGGCTCTTTGGTGAAAAGTGGCCTGTAATTTTGGGTTTACCCAAACGGGAGCCAAAAGAGGATGAAATGTTCATTTTGCCAGACTCTCTGTATTTCACACCTTGCCGAACGTTTCATTGCACATCAACTGATTGATGTCAAAATGGCGATCCCTGTTTAAAGGGAAACCAGAAGTTGGGCCCCCCTTACTTTGATACATACCCAAATCAGGATGGACAGTAGCTACCGTTTGTGGGGGATGTTTGGCATGCCACCTAAACAGGAAAGACACACTTTTCGGGCCCCAACGGTATTCCACTGAGATAGTCCAAAAAGCGAGCTGCAACCCCCAAAGGTTCAGGCGGTTGGGACCTCAGGCGCGCCGTTCCTTGCAATCTTAAGCCACTTTCTTCCTTACCCGGCTTCCTCCAAACATATGCGAAAGGAGTAGTTTATTTTAGGGGAAACAACGGGGGGGGGGGGGTAGTGGATCCTATGGCGCGCGTAGCTTCGGCAACTCACCATGCAAGAAAGGCGCCGCACTTTCCGCCCAGAAATGCCAAAGGTGCCTATGCAGAATGACATTTTTGACAGTCAACCGTTTCCAATAGGGAACTGCATCAAAGATTCCCCTCCACACACTTCTGCACCCAACTCACCCCCTTGGTGCTTACCTCGGTGTATGGCTGAGGGGGGCTGGTGGTAAAACCTTTGACTTAAGCGGAGTGCATACGAAATGTACCTGCCATATTTGGCGCTTGTCCGGGCTTACCACCCCAAAGAAAAGGACCCCAATGGCTAACTCAAGGGCGCCCTCGACAATTAATTGATTCCACACTCCACGGCCTCATGTGGACGTCCAAAGTCATCCGCTAGTTAAGTGGTGGGTTAAAGAGAAAATCCCCCCCATTTTCTGACTTTAACCCAAAGAAGCAGTCAACATGACCCCAGTCAGCCGTGCGAGGCTGAAGCAAGAGCTGGAAGCGGTCACTGGAGTACCACCAATCCAGCAAGAGCCAATGGCCTGCACAAAGGGGGCCTTCAGAGGCCTCTCAAGTGGCGTGTGCATTCGACCCACTCCGACTTGGACTCCAGAACTTGGTCGTACTTCTTGGGCAGACCAGCTTAAGATTTGAGCAGACGCAACTTTTGGACTTGCTTGGCCAGTTAACTCAGGCCAGGAAGTGAGTTGAAAGTTATCCTGCCTGGGCGTGAAGGCCAAGCAAATGTGCGGAGGAGCATATAGGTGTTCTACCACACGCGAACAGCAAACCGACACACGAGCAAATCGGAGGTTTTCCAAAGCAGTATGTCAAAACGCATTGTGTTTTAATGGTTTCAGAAGACGACAGCCAAGGTAGGAGCATGAATGCTTTATGGCTGGATCCAGGAGTATATACATGGGGAAGGTGTGTTTCGACTTGGTGCCGTTCCTGCTTGCGTTGAAGGTGGTCAATGACTGGCCAAAAAAGGACAGCATTTGTTGGAGGATACGCTTGTCAGATGTGATTTTGCCACCTGTGGGATTCCCTTTCTGAGAGCAACTGATCAATAGCTGCCATCATGTGAATCAGCAAAGAGGATGACATAGGCCCAGTCAGCCAAGTGTCCCCCACCAGGGTTTCCACCACCCTAAACCACTCCCGCACAAACAGGTGTACAAACACACGCTTCTTCTTGTACATAAGCACTAATATGTATATATGTTTGGATACAAGCTATATCGTCCTGAAATGGTCAGAGAGATTAAACTGATAAGAAGGAACAGAGGTGGATGTGTCCTTTTTTGAGGGTACCCTTTTTGGGTTTGGTAAGGGAAAAGCGGAAAAATAACTATTTGGTTTTTGTAGGGTTTTTTGGGGGAAGGCCCCTAAGAAAGACACACAGAGGGGCACGTTAGGAGCACAACATGCTACCTATTGAGGTGCATAGGGCGCACCCAATGCCGAGAGTGAATACATGCCCTCGCAAGTTTGCCCCCTGCCACGGATTCTCGTTAAAATAGGGTACTACCGATTTTTGAAGGCGCACTTGCAGTTGGGTAAACATAGATGGCCCATTCCGCCACTTCTGGTTTATTCGTTGACTCGACCTCATTTGTGGGGAATTGTGGCATCTACTTTCGCCCTTCCGGCACGGTGTGCTGCCCAAAGACACGCTGCTAGGCTGTCATGGCGCATGAAGCCCTTGTCCGGGGACGTACTCTTGACCAGCGAGGGCGCCTCCCAACCGCACAGGAGGTCTGACCTAATCAGCGGGTGAACGTAGACGGCAGAATTCCCTGGCAGGAAGTGAACATGGATGATTAAACAAATCATGGAGAATTGTGCCTTTCACCCTTTCACCCAACTGTACGTTTTCCCATGTTGGCCATTTGTACATTCTAATGCAGGGGTGCCGATCTCTTTCACAAACATGTAGCATCCGAAAAAGGCCCATTAGAAACAACAACTAGTCAAGGTTCCAAAAGGTGAACCCTTACCAGGTCTTTTGTGCAAGCCGAGTCATCAGGGTTGGGCAGTTTTATTCAGCAACCAGACCCTGGTTCCCGATAAAGAGAAATCAAGAGGATGTTGTTTCTAGCGATTTGAATGGCAGGCCATAGTTGCGGGACACTGTTTTTTGGGATTCTTGTGATACCGTGGGGATGACTGAAGTGACAAACTTGTCATGGCATGACCCGCTTTATCACAGAAAGACAAATCAGCCCATGAGCTTGTGGAGAACCCCATGCCAGTCCCACGCTTCTATGCGGTCAAGGGACTTCGGGCGCCATGAAGGCCATCACGCCCAGATTTCTGAACTAGGATGCCCAACTCTGGCGCAATGGAACCGGGAGCCGGAAGGAACTCGCGGGTTCGGAAGTAAGGACCGGCAGAGCCTGTGGGGGTTCTCCGACGTGAGGGTTTCATTCATATCTTACAAGTTCGCAGTTTTCCCCAGAAGCAGCTGGTTGGCCATGTGCGTTGTGCCTCAGGAAGGTGTCCCGACAGATCAGCCAAGAGTTACCTTCCAAGGCTTGTATCAAGTTTGGTTTCTTGAGCAGTGTGCTGTTGAAATGAACTGTTCCAGGCTTCTGCCTCTCAAGGCCCACAGGTCGACAATCGGTGTGGCTTCCCTGAGTTCCCGTTCGCGGACCAAACGCGGTCGGGTCTTGAGCAACCGAGCCTGGCTTTCCAGCTGACCAACGGTCGGGGTGGCCAACGGTCGGCATGATTGAACTGAGCACCCTTTTTGTGGCTCAGATGGGGCTCTGGAAGTGTGTTTTTGGAGCTACCTGTTAAAAAAGCAAAGCACTTGCGTGAAGAAGCCAAACATGGGCGAAATACATGTCGCTTGGCCCTTTCTTTGACTTCCGACTTAGGTTGCCAGTGGCGACCTGCTGGTTCTCGCAGTTCGGGCGGCTCGAGCGGAATGCTGGGTGAGTCTGAAGGGAAGCCTTATCCTGGATTTCATAGGGCCAAAGCCAAGGGGATTGGAGTGGTTCATCTTAGGTTGGTCAAAAATAAAAATAAAAAAATGGGGGATCAATCGGGATCAATCTGACTTTTTGGTCTAGGAATTGACGCTTGGCATGTCTTTGTTTGAATTGTTTATTGATGTGTAGCTGGTTGGGGTCTGGCACGGCTGAACTTTGGCCAGGATTCGGCAAGCTAGCAACAATACTATAGATGTTCCCTTTTCAACTGCGAGCGTTACATTTGGCTGAAAGTGAGGTTCCTTGCGGTGGGCTGATCTTGGCCCTCTCCTTTGTTCGGCCAGGGCTTCTTTGCTTCAACTCACACAGATGATTGGGTCCATACTCTCATAGGGGTTGGGCAAATTGTTGGTGCAAACCAAGCTTTTGTTTCTCTTAAGCCAAAAGGAGGTCGTCAAACAGAAAGTTTGGTGCTTCATGTTCTGATGGCGCATGGTGCGCTTCGGTGCACTTCCAGGGTCACCTTGTTTGTCACCTGCGGACCTATGACTTGACTCTTTTCCTTTTTCTTTGGGGGAAACCCACTGAATAGGTCCCTTGTTCTCAGGACTCTCAGGCCACCTTTGCATCTTCAAGCACCTAAGGCGGGATCTTTGGCGGTCACTGCCAGCCGCGATGGCACTGCCAGGCAGCGAATGGGGAAGCTGGCAGAAAGAAACCTCCCCACACATCTAGTGCCCTCACTTTCCAGTTTGTGGACGGAGGGAGGGGTCATTTTGTTTGTTTGCGGGGAGGTGATTTTTGTGGCAACCCAAAAGTCTGGTCTTTTTCCAACCAATCACCCAGGAAGTGAGCACCCATGTGTCCTTGGAGAGGGCTTCCGGCTTCCCTCTAAATTAGGGTGCCTCAAAGGAACATTCGGGCCAGTCAAGAAAAGACGCGCGGATCCCCTTGTGAAGCAGCTAGTTCTTGGATGTATTGTTGAAGCCCTGCAAACCCAACTGCCAAGAGGAGGTTGCCTTTTTGCTCTTTGGCCTGGTCACTGCTTGAGACCTTTGGCCTAGCTAGGCCAAGAAACAACTTCTTAGTCTTTGGGGTACAGTAAGACTAAACTAAAGGTAGGAAGAGCGATGAATCTCTAGTTTGCACAGGCCCTTGTCGCAAAACATTTTTTTGGGAAAGGGTTGCTGTGCCTTTTGACGTTTGATAGGACAGGGTAGCATCAGGCTTTTGGTTGATCGACTCCTGAACCTTCCTTACACAACTCCTCCTTACAAAAGCGAACCGCGAAATAGCGAACAAACAAACATGCAGCAGCAAATCCGAACCAAGAAAGGGTCCCGGTTTGAAAAAGCCCTTTGCGAGCACCAGCACTTGTTTCTTCAAGCAAGCCAGGTTGGTGCTGTTGGGCCAGGAGATGCCCTGACAAACACAAACATGGCCCGACCCTGAAGAGTTCAATGAATAAACTCCAGTGCCTTTGTGACCTCTTGGGCCGTGTGGTGGTACCTGACAGCAAGTGTTGCACTTGCCCATGTACATAACCACCCTCATCAATATAGAATGGGGGGGGGGGAGGTGGGGGCAAGGGCCCTCCCCATACATGTTGCTGGCACGTGGGTACCAGGGATTTAATGTACGGGCCGGGCACTGGATGAGTGAGTAAAGGCATTTGTTGCGTCATGTTTCCGTTCAACCGGCAACAAGTTAACTTTTGTGGGGTCGCGTTTGCCGCTGAGCTGCTGTAGGTTGTGGTCCATGGAGACGGGTCAGCAGCTTGTCAATCGGGCTGGGCTGAGGCATTCTAAGTCCGTGGGCTCCAATTGTTTGAAGCGCAGTGGGTAGGGTAACCAAATTACGGCTCAGCTTGTGGCGACTGAAATCTGAGATACAGGTGGCCGATTTCTGTGAGCGGCCAAGTCGGGTTCCCCTTTGATGACAAGATAATCCAACATGGGAAACAGCCTCTCAACAGTATTTTTCACAACCATGGCTCGGCCGTATGCAGAGTAGCTGCAGCTTTGTGCGGTTTGTGTCGCTTGCATGGGCGAAAGGCGAAGCAGGGATCTCCTCTCTAACTCAAGTCAGAGCAGCCAAACATCTAGTTTTGCCTGTGGTCGTTTGCGGTTGGCACATCCAAGCTGTTGTCTAGAGAGGTAGTGACTTAGTGGGAATCATCGTAGCCAATGCGAGCATCAAGATCACGAAGAACGGTTTGGGTCATTGCAACATGACCACCCCGCCCCGCGATGAATGTGTATGGAGGGGTGCTGGAATGGTTGTGCTCACGTCATTCAGGGCCGTTCTTGGGAAGGAAAGGGCGCCTGAAAACACAGTTGATGGAATGAGGCTGGGATGATTGTACGCACAAATAGCACACACGGATACCATGCATGTGGAAGGACTTGAGGAATCATGCATCTGCGGTTTTGGTGCTAACCCATGGGAACATGTCTAGGTTTGCTCCCTAAAAGGTGGCAATCCATTCGAGGCCTCCAAGTCATAGGATTCAAGCTCAGGCCCTAACCTCCCCCCATCTCCTCAAAGGCTCTCATTAAATGAGGTCTTCTGGATGCTTATTGGGGGAGAGGGGAACTGGGAGAAGAAGAGAAACCAGGTCAGATACGCTCAGGGCAAATATGCTGCACAAATCCACGAAGCCAGCATGAGGTTGTGCAAGCAATTGTAGTTTCAACATGTTCCAAGGGCTTAGTCCAACAGCCCCGGTTCTTCTCACTCCTTTTGGCGGACCGCTTCTCTTTGTTCTTTGATTTCCATCTTGGGCCAACATTGGAGGTTCCTCGAAAGGATGAGTGTGCACAGGTTTACTGGCAAGGTTTTTAGTAAGGAATTTCAAGTGGCTTTGGAATGAACCTGATCCCCGAAAGGCAAACTGCAAACCACAGAGATGGCTCCCACGTGCTCTTCCGTCCTTCCCTGGAAGAACCTCGGTTCCCGGTTTCCATTTCACCAATAGCAGGTCTGTTGGGGTTGGAACCCAGCGGATCAGAAAATGCACAGCCCAGAGCACCGAGTTCCGCGGATCTCTTTGGACATCTTGGAACCAAGTGCTGTCGCTGGCTGCGAGGTGCGTGCGGCAGCTGTCGGGCCACCGCGGCCATCTGCTCCACGCAGAGTTCGCCCCCTCCGGCAGCTCCGTGGTGACAGCCTCCCAGGCGCGGGGCGCGGGGCGCGGGGGCCGGGAAGGTCGAACTTCCGCTTGCTGAGATGAATATGTGGCTCAATGGGATCCTCCCATTTTGGGGGTTTTCGGTGCACCACCCATTTTTCGTCTATTTTAGTGGGGATTGGGATGAAATGAATAATACCCTCTAAATGAATGATAACATTAAGCCCAGATGAATAAACCCCTGGCTGATGAATGGGGGTGTCCCCCTTTGAGTGGGGATTCAGACCACTTTTGGAGGGAACACCCCCCCAATAGTGGGACGGGTTTATTAATCCTGGGTCAACATTCCCCCTCTCTCCCACTAGCATGGCAACTGACACAGGGTCCCTCCACGAGGAAACAGATCTTAAAGGTACCCTCCTACAGATGCCATGTTCGTGGGGCGAGTATGTGGCTCAAAATTAAACGATCGGAGGGGCAAACCGCAGGTTTGGTCCATGTTTCCACTTACTAGGGCAACCCATTTTGCCGTTTTTTTTTTAAGCCACCGCCAAATGAACACGCGGATTTTCCCTGGTTGGCGTTAAGGTTGGAATCCATCACCGGAAGTATCGGACTTTTTCTTTGGGGGGGGGGGAGAAAGCAAATGGAAGTTAAGGGCAGATGTGTCACCACCTGGCAGTTGATTCATGAGACAAGAAGGCGAAACCACCCGTAAATTACCAGGCTTTGTTTGGAATTCTTGCAAAGAAGTCGGGAATCCTTAAATGGTGAACATGGTCGCGTGTCTTTTCTTTTTCAGCATCCACGGAAGTGGCGGGAACTGCTGCGAACGCAGATCCAGAGTCATGCATGCCCGCAAGCATGTGCCTTCCCAGAGCCCCCAGCCATGTTGTTCCACACCTTCTGTCAGGCCCAGGTGAGTCCACCGATTCTGGGTAATTGGAGAGTAAGGGACGATCCCGGCCATAAATGGATGCGGATATCCGCCTTGGGAAATTCTTGAAGCCTGGTTCCGGGTTTTGAACATGCGCTCCTTCAACGTGGGCGTGTTGAGCGGTCTTAAACAAAAGCCATTTGAAGGAGACAGACGGCCAGTTTTGGCATGAGACATGTGCAGGATAGCACCGCTCGACTCTGGGTGGTGGAAACGGGCCAATGCTCGGCAGTGCTGGAGGGCCACACAGCGCCTGCTGCTCGCCACGCGGAAGGGGGGGGGTTGCCCGAGGTCCGCGCGGGGCAAAGGGGGATGTCCTTGTTCGACTGCCATTGGACAAATCTTATGGATTTCACACGTCAAAGGGTTGTTATTGCTACCCATTCATTTCGACAGGCTTCCTTCGCAAAAGGTCAACGGTGTCCTCTTGGCACGCATGACAAGCTTGTTCCGAGAGGTTACAAAAAGAGGAGATCAAGTTCCCGGCGCCGTTCCAACGGTTTCGCTGAAGACCTGCGGAGAACTTAAAGATGCTCCCCTCTGTTCGTTCGCCAAAGCGGGTTTGATTCCCATGAGCCAACAGCCTCTTGGGCCTAAAACCGGGAACCTTCGCATTTCAACGGCGAAATCTAAAAAGGATCCCATGTCAGGAACATGCCTGTCATCTCAACCTTCTGCCAAGCTGCAAGTGGAGCTTGCCGCAAATGTGCCAAAAGGGTTCAAGCATTTTGGACACCTCCTTGATTTCACGGACCTTTGGACGAGGGCCATGCGCATCAGGGACCCAAGCAATACCCTCTCATGCCAGTTATCCAGAGGTTGCCAAGGGGTCAAGGGGCCGACCCAAAAAAACGCAAAAGTTCACAACTCTTAGCAAGCGAAAAGTGCCTTTCGGGCCAAATTGTGGCCCCTTGTGTTCGGCTGAGTACAGAGCGATGTATTCGCCGGGTGTGTGAAACTGCAGGTACCTTCCCTCAGGCTAACATGGGGGGGGGTTGGCTCCCAAGTTTTTTTTTTGGACAAACGTGGTTTCCCCTTCAACCTGGTGGCTTCCATGTTCTCGAGGGCGTTTGAGCTCTGTGCTACGGTCCGGGGACGAGGGAAAACACGGCTGCTATGTATTTGAATCTTCGGACTTTAGCTTGGGAAATGATGATTTCCCACGAAGCTTAACTGCAAAATCAGAAGCATTCCCATGGTTAGCTCAGGGTTGAGCCAGGGGAATCGGCTCAGCACTTTCCAAGGTGGTGTCTGCTTGCTTCGCGCCCTCTGGTGCTTCAGTGGTCACCGCCTCGCAGGACCACACAGCCCGGGCGCGGTTCCCAGAGGACGCTTCTAGCCGAGCCGTGATGCACAGACCACCTGACCACCTTGGCCGTTTTTCTGGTCGCTTCATGTAGCTGGTGGCTTGAAAAAAAGGAGCTGTTCCGGAATCCAAATTTGCTTTTCAAGAAGTAGCCTTTCGGAAATTGCTTTCAAGAGGAATTTGGAGCTAGCTAGTCTAGAAGGACACGAAAGGAAATTGGCTGTTTGGCTGTTTGGGCCAAACACCAACAGCTAGAACTGAACTAAAGACAGCACGCACACGTGTGGTTGTAACTTTGGCCACTTGTGCCAGTTGGTTCATATGGGCTGCCAGAAGTCCTAAAGTAGTCCAAGGGTTCTGCGAGAGAATATGGTGGGAAGCTGCTAGAAGATGGAGCCGCCAGCCCCGAGCAACCTTAACTAAGGTGCCTAGTTTTCAGAACATCCCTGCAGGGCAGAACTTACATACCCCAAACTGACGTACCCAGCATATGATTCAACGATAGTTTCTGCAGTACATGCCCCTAGATGGTCCCTGTAGAATTCTTACAACATATTCGCATTCAGGGAGCCAAAGGCCATCAAGAGGTACATTCCTCCATGGATCCCCTTGCTATGGCCCTGGAAGCAAAGCACAGAGGTGTGGACATACCCCCAAAATGGGAATCAGTACCCCGAATGGGCGTACCTCCCATATACTCATCATGAATGGGTTTTGGAGGCATGGAGCTTTGGTACCACTTCAGAAAGTGGTAAAAACTGCGGTTCAAGCTTACATGAGCGGTAAAAAAACATCCTCCAACCACCATACCTGGAAATGCCATTGAACATAGAACCAAGGTGTGGACCATTGACGGCACCTGCAGCTTCGTCTTGGCCAAGCACGCGGGCGCTGTCCTCTCTGCGCGCTTCTCGCCCGACGGCTCGAAGATTGCCACTGCAGGAAGCTCAGGTGTGTATGCGTTTGTATTTGTTGAGGCACGGGAAAAATGGTCAAGTCCTAAGTTTTCAATTCTTCCGCCCGCGTCCGGATAGTTGGACCCCTGAATCTCCATGGGGGTGATCTCGCTTCAGTCTAATTTTGCAAGGGTCCGAGCACTAGGTGGTCGCTGAGGTGAGGCAGCAGTTGGTGCGCTATGTGTTGTGTCACAATCGGAATGAGCCCGGGCCTCCTTCGCGGTTGGTGCTTGTTGCCAAGTTCCCCTGTTTTCGGACTTCATGTGTTGCAGGCCGTCTAAAGATGTTTCTAGGTCCGCTTGGTCAAAGAGTTGGTGTCTCTTCTGGTCGATGTTACGATGTTTCAGGCAACGCCCATGTTTTGGGGGCGCGGCTTTGGTTTGTTGATGTTGGCTCTTTGGCTCCGTTCATCTTTGGCGGGCTGTATGGGGCCCACTGAAACTGGCCAGCCCCGCAAACATAAAAGGCTCCCATGTGCCCCCCCTGTCCTACGTGGGTCCACTGGGCACTGGGAGCTTGTGCTCTTTGTTCCGGCGGAATCTCATAGGAGTTCCTCCGGATAAAGGGGCGCCTAAGAGTTGATGCTCCTGTGTGTTTTCCTATGTTTTCGTGAGGTTCCTGGATTTCGCTTGGTTTTTCTTTTTTGATCATGTGCTTCTTGACTTCTGCGTTTCCCCGCAGTGCCGAGTCTGCTGAGGGCTCCACTGATTGCACGCTGCGGCTTTGGGACCCCACCTTCGGGGAGCCCCTGCTGCAGGTGAAGGACCATGGCCCTTCGGCGGCGAGAAATCGGGTCTTGACGGCTTCGGTTCCCAGACCTGTCAGAAGATTTTCTGGCAGACGCATTGAGAAGTGTGGAGAGGGTTGATGGCAATTTCATTTTGAAGAACCTTGCGGGCTCTCAGTAGGGAATGGAATGACCCCAAACTGAATCATCCCCTACGATTTCCTGTCAGGGGATCGAGGTTCGAAGTGCTCAAGCTGTAACCCATCAGCTAATTCCGCTGCCATGATTGAGGCATCTGACTTTCGGTTGTTAGGGAACAGCGCTTCAGGGAGTTTCGACCGCACCTGGATCTGTCCCACATCCCTGTTTACATCCCATGTTCACATGGAAACCTCTTTTTGCCCGAAGGGTTCGATCCCGTGACGTGGAAGTTCTGGAGCGCCAGCTAAGGAATCCGTCTTGGAATGCTGTCAGAATTCTGTTGAATTACCAGGCAAAAGGGAGTTCAAACCTTTGCTTGACTGGGCTGGGCCAACAGCGGAAAAACACAGAATCACTTGCGCTATGATTGTCTCAGGGTGGTCATGACTGCCCTGGGTTTGGAAAAACCCACGGCCCTGGTTGAGGCGGCGGCGTGTTCCTGGCGGAAGTTTCGCCAGACGGCACGCAGGCGTGAGCCCAATGGTCGTTCGTCTGGTGGGAGTGTGTTTTGGTGAGGGTACCTTCCCGAAGATTCACAAAGGGGACCCCTCTTAAAATGATGTCTTTGTTGGTTCCATGTCAATCTGCAGCAACCAAGGGGGCAAGCCCTAGATGTTCCATGCTCGGCGAGGAGCATTCCACGGGTCTGCCACTGGGCATGGATTTTGACCAGGGCACAAGTCAAGTCACCAACTAGTTTGATTTATTAGGATTCACATGAATTCACCCAGACTTGCATGGAAACACGAGAAGAAAGCCCTGGTTGCATGACGCTGATCACCGGAGATAGTGAGAAGCAAGATTTGGACACGCAATAAGTGGTCGCAGTCACCAGCCTGTCACTGGACTACACAGTTCAAGTAAAGGCATGACCCTATGGTTCCTCAGGGATCATTAATTACCCACCCCAACATTGCACCATTCGAGTTGGTAAACGCTTTAAGAAAAAGACACTGGGGTTGACCGGTTCTTGGCTTTTTCCAGCGTGTTGGGTGGAGTGTTTGGCTGTTGACCCTCCCAAAACTGAATAAGCAAACTGTCGTGCCTACCAATGTTCCTACCCATCGTGATACCAAGTGAACCCCCTGTGGCAGAATGGTTTGAGGCAAGCTGCGAACGAGGTGATCTCTAATTAGACAGCACTCACACCTTTCTCAGCGGCCAAGAGTCAGCGGGTTGAGCAAAGGGTTCCCGAAGAGTGATAAAGAGGTCATGGGAAACAAGAGGCTCCTCCGCAAATCAATGCCCTCCTATTCACCAACATGGAGCCCACCAGAAGGTCCTTTCTAAAGGAAAATGGTCTTCCATGGCGCCCCCTGTGAGGTTCCATGTTTGCGGATAGGAATGTAACTGTTTTTCGCGTTCCTTCCGTTGAACTGGATCACGACCTGGGCTCGGCGGCACGACCTAAGTTGCTGACGGCGGCCATCGATACGCAGGGGGTTGGGGAGCCGAGTCACAAGTCGCTGGACCCGCTCCTCCCCCGAACGGCCAAGTAAGACCATAGCAAGACCCTTAAGCCATCAATCTGACTCCCTGAGTTCCTGGACATGAGTCACGTTTTGGGTTTGGACCATCTTGTACAAAAGTTTGAAAGACTTTTTGTAGCCAATCCACTCAGGAAGTCGGTTTGGCGGAAAGTGGAAAGGGTTGAGAACCCAAAAGCTCGATCCATTGCAGAAGCCTTTGCAGAACGTGGAACCTAAAGTTCGTGTCCATTTGGGTAATGTCCTTTTGGGGGTCCATGGCAGAGAGGGATATACATGGGGTTCTTGAAGGCGCTGGTCCCAGGCGCTGGTCCCGGGCTTTCAGGGATTGGCATTGCACGGTCACCAAGCAGAAACCGGGCGGTAAATGGCAATAACTTTGAATGTGTTCAAAAGCGTGCCAAAAGGGGATGGAATCTTTTTTTCGGACGCCTTACTTGACAGCATGCAAAAGCTGCTGGTGGAAGCGGTTGGGATCCAGGTGCCGGAAGCTGCTTTATTGATCATGGCAGGTGAATATGGATTCTAAGCCCATCATGTTTAGAGTAAGTTCCTTTTGGGGAGCCCCCTGTTGGGTCGCTTTACAACTGCTCCCAAGGTGGTCTTGCGGGACGCCGCATCTGGCGCAGTGCTGCAGTGCATGCCCAAGAGTGTTTTCTTTGGGGCTGACTTGGCGTGGGAGCTACGTTCTAGGTGTAGCTTCCGCTTTAGAATTAAGCCATGTTTCATCGTTTACGAAGCAATGAACTGGGGGGGGGTCATACCGGGGCTTTTTATTGCTTGGGGTAACTTCCATGCCAAAACAACAAAGGGGAAGCAAGTTGCTTTAAAAGAACGATGCTTGGCTTCAGTGCCAAGCCTAGCTCTTTGTGCGCTCTTGTGTTTTGCCTCTTTTGCATTGACGGGGGATTCCATCCTTTTCCCTTTCCCATCCTTTTGCCCTTCAATTTCTTTAGCTCTCCTAAACTGATTAATCTCTAAAAGGGTGACGGGCCACTGGGCAACTGGGCAAAGGTCCGCTTTGATCGCTTCAGGGGGGCCACGTTTAAGGGGCAAGCATCGAAGATCGCGGGCGAGCGCTTCAGAATTAACAAGGAGGGAACTTCTGACGTATCATGATCATCCAACATTCTTTGGTTTCGACCGGCTTCACGAGTAAACATTTTTCAGTGCCCCAGAAGCGCTACCTTTTCAGCCGGCAATCGACCGAGAAGTGTTTCAACATGCGCTTTTGGAGTGAGAGTTGTATGACCCCAAAGGCCACCTCTTCCACAAGTTTTATCTCGGTTGCGACTGCAGCTGAAGGCCTTCCGGGGAGAGACACTTCAAAGGACATGTCCGATTCGATTGAAGACATCAAGCGGGGCGTGACGGCGTGACTGTGTTCATGATCCTTACGCATCCTTACCCAATATTGCCCACAATGGGCCTGATTGCTTCTGAACAAGGCCAAATCAGGCCAAATACCAGATCCATGAGGCCTTCACTTTGGCGGGGGTTGGAGCAGTATACCCGTGAACGTACGGGAGGGCTAGTCGTTCCAGTAGTTCGCCTCTGCAAAGAAGAGAAAGCGACAAGTGACTCCCCTGAAAGAAGGTGTCTGCAGCGTGGCATGGTTCCAGCAGTCTAAGCCCGAGGTCAGCTCGGCATACGATGGTTTTTGGACTTGCGAACTGTCCCAGTTTGGTTGGCGACCGGTTTCCGTTTCAGCTCTGTAATTGCAAAGGGTTCCACCCCAAAAGAGCACAACAAGAATGGTTCTCATTCTCACACGGGGCTTCAAACTTCTAAGGCTTCCCCAAGGGATGTCTACATTCAGGTTTCTTCTCGGCGCATGCCACTCCACCCGCCACTTTGGGCTCCCCCGCCCCCGTGCCTGCGGATTCCCAGGAAACTTGCTGATGGTCGGCCTGCAGCTCAGGCAATGAGGCTTCTGCGTGCACCCGGATGGGAAACCCCCGACCGAAGCTGACTTCCCAATGCTTGAGCGGCACCCGCTCAATCCCTTGCAAGCCCCCCGAGGTCAGCTTCAAAACGGGATCCCCTGCTACAAGGTGTTTTTTGCCGGGACGGGAGAAACAAGCATCAAGGGAGGAACTCGCCAAAAAAAAAAAAACTCACTGGCACGGCTTCATTGCATTCACCGAAATTGATCAACGTGGAGCGATGAACAGTCCCCCAGTCCCCCAGTCCCCCACTTCACCAAACGTCTGCAATCCGGAGGCCACGGTCTTGTCAAGCGCCACAGTCCTAGGCTGGCTCATGATGCGGCCTAGCGCCCAGCGAAGACAATGGGCAAGTTGGAGCAACGCCGATTAAAGTGGTGTGCGTGTCTGTTTGTTTTTTGGCGGGTATCCTTTTTTGGATTGGTTTAAAGGGAGCCAACAGGAAACCCCAATTGATTTTGCCACAGGACATGTGGAAACCCCTGGATTCGTACGTCCTTTAGGGTTTCCTTCATTTTCTTTCTGTGCCCACTTCACGGCTCTCCGGTGTTCTAGGGTCGACATGGATGGATTGAATGGCACTGATGAAAAAAGATAGCAAATTTGGTGTACCTGTTAATAAGTCCTAAATCTAGGTCGAGGGGCGATCTTTGAGGCTGTTATTTGCCCGTTGCTTCAGGGTCCCAAATGTATGTCCCCTGGCAAACATTTGTTGGAAAGGCCAATTCAAAGAGTTTCCTTAGGATTGTGTTGAGGGAAAATGAAGCTATCCCATTGTTTTAGTGTATGGGGATGGTCCTGACTGTTCACCATGGTGTTTCGCTTTGCCCCCTTAAACAAATTTGCATATTTCGGTTGCCGCAACATTGAGCTAGCGCACAAGTCATGGCCCATTGCATAATTTGTTGCTCCTCACTTGAAACCCTGTTGCCTCAAGCCATTTGGCCCTTTTGGCACTCGCACGCGACAGCCCCGCAAGTCGCTGAAGGGATGTGGCGTTCAACGGCGGCCTGGGCGGCGACCGCGGCGGGCAACGTGGAGCCGGCTCTCGGAGCTATGCGGAGCTCCTTGGACGAGCTTTGCGGGGAGGGGATCCCTTTGAGGAGACGCCGGTGGAGGAGAAGTGGTTGAGAGACATCAGCACCAGCGTGAAGAACCACGTCAATTTTTTTTTTGCGGCCCCAGACTCCCATCATGCAAGATCAAGTGCTGCCACCGGCTCGCTGGTGGAACCGCACCAGCCGCTTGCTCTCCAAGCTCGAGGAGGAGGCGGGAATCAGCCCCCCGCACCTTCGGCCAGCGGCGTTCGAGTTCCTTGGTGGCTCCCAGCCATCCGGTTCCTTAGCTTTTTAGCGTTTAGTGGGGTTTTCCATTTGACCCACCAAAAGATAAACTTTTGGCGGGGGATCTGAGGACAGCTCAGGTTCGAATCAGGATCTGCCGCCCCGGGCTAGGTACGTGAACAAGATCCTGATCTACATGAACAAGGAGATGGACGCGGTTTGGAACTACAACATCATCGTGGACCGGAAGCGCTGGGGGGTGGGCAACGTGATCACCAGCTCACCCTACGGGCCCCACGAAGAACACCCGGAGCGCGCTCGCGCAGGAATGGCACCTTCCCCTTCCCAGAGCAGGCGCCCAACCACACCATCCTCCTTGAGGAGAAGGTGACGTGCCTGAAGTTCACGGTAAAGGCCGAGGAGCACAAGTACGAGAACAAGTACGCCCAGCAGCTGGCGGACTAGCTGTCGCTTGTGGACATCAACGACGCCATCCGGAAGATCAGCGACCTGCGCGAGATCAGTTTGTGGCTCTTCCTTCGGGGGTGTGGAATAAGATTGACGCCCACTCCTAGGTCCTTCAAGGAAAGTTCCAGGACCCAACTTAGAGTCTCAAAATGCGGCTTCCAAGTCCTGCAACGGCGACCTGGGCCAGTTTCCCAAGTTTTCCCCGGGGCCTTTGCTCGGTCCTGGGCTAATCTGGAGTCTCCTCTGAATGGCTTTGCCACAGAGAGTTTTGAGTAGCCCACAAGAGGCCACGACTACTTTTAGATTCCACACTCCGGTGGATTTTAAGTTGGACAGCAGAGGCTCATAAGATTGAGGCCTCTGTCATTCTCCGGCGGCGAAGCGGAAGAAATCGAAGTTTGTTCATATTATCACCACTTACCTCAGCAGCAGAGCTACGTTCTTCGTTCTTTTGTGATCACAATCCAGCTCTGGCCATTCTGAGGCTTTCTCGCCTGATGGATGCTACATCCTCACTGCGAGCCCTGCCCTTAACGATGAGCATACCTGGCAACTGCAAAAACCAGCGAGCATCACCCCTCAGTTCGGGGACTGGCCGAAGATTTGACCAAGCATTCATGGCCAGCACTTGGGGCAAAAGCAAACAAAGTCTCCAACTTGGGGTTGATGAAAAGGTCTGAAAAACAGGGGACCATCAAGGAAACCTCTAACAAGATTCGATATTCTTTATATGGGAAAAGGTAGCAATGGTCATTTGCGGGCCAGGAATATTGATCAAGCGGTACAAGAGACCATATCACTACCCTGGAAATGCGGAGGCCAAATGAGCCAAAACTCAAAGCAACAAGTGTAAGCACACACAATACTAAACATGAATATATACATATATATGTATATGTATATATGTGTATGTATGTATTTGTTTTATGCATGCAATGTACTGTGCTGCAATGCAATGTCATGTAATGTAATGGAACGCACTGTGCTGCAATGCATGCAATGCACTTCAAAGCGGTATACAAATTTGTCTATCTTGCCCATATTGGCATTTCCTCATTGGTGACGGCGTGTTCCAAAATCCCACCAAGCTTTGGTTGTGCCTGAGTCGGTGCACCGGTGAGTTGCTTTTCTTTGCCCCAATTGCGTTTTCGACTGAACTGAAGCCGTTGGCTGTCTGGCCTGCTTCTCAAGCCAAACTTTCAACCTCCTTTAGCAATTGTCATTGTTCTGCGCGGGCTGCAATCAACAATCAAATTGAGACTTTACAGACTGGGACTTGAAGCAGTCGTGAACCTGCTTTTGTGGGGGGGAATCTGCACCAGTGTTTCTGTTCACCGTGTTCATAGAACTTCCATTTGCGGAAATGAACATGTTATTTTCCCTGGTTGGTTTAAAGGGAACCTATCACGACTGGACACATTTTCTCATTCTGTCGAGGGAGAGGACGTACCTCTCGGTGGCGCCACGCCTCGCACGCCTCGCTCGCTGCCTTTGAGGCTGTGACTGGTCGGCAAGGCTTTGGACTTCCAGCGGGCAGATGGTGCAGGACGATAAGACGTCTTCAAACCTTGTTCAAACGGGTTCCTTGTTGCAGGAGTCGCATTGCTTGTAGGGTTTCGCTGGGTTTCAGTCACTTTCCCACCCTTTCACCACCACCACTTTCAGACCACCACCTTAAGACCCAGTTGGATACGGGCCCTCGCTTTTTGAGTTCCTGGACTTTGGTCACTTTTTGGGTTTGGACCATGTTGGTGGTAGACCGAAAGCTTGGACTTTTTGTTTGGTCCATCCACTCAGGAAGTGAGGGCCTGCTGGAATGGGTGCCGTTACATACACCATGCCGTTGCCCCTTGTATCGCTTCGTTGGAACACTGATGTTTGACAAAAGGAGAGAAGAAATCGCGTGTGTGAATTCCCCACTGTCCCAGGTGCAGCAAAAAGCTTTGGCGCAGCAAGCCCTGGCCACCAGGTGTTGTTTACTGGGAGAAACGCACGTTTTTTGAGCCTTTTGGCTTCCAGCGTTGGTCCACATGTAAGGTTTAAAAGGCTTATTGACCTTCTGCCCCAAGTCCTTGAGGCAAGTGAGCACAACTTACCCTTCCTCCCTCACATGACTGACTCTTTCCCAGAAATCAAGGCGAGATATGTAAATAGGAAAGATCGTCATGAAGACATATCTTTGCAGAGCCCATCTCCGATCATTTCTTCTTCGAAGTTGCTTTCTGGGGCTGTGCGTCTTGGTTCTCCGTGTTAAGTCACAATTTTCCAGAGGAAGCCCGTCTGTTTGTTTCCAGGTATTTCATTTAAATTTGTGACGCTGCTTTCTTAGAGGGGTTTTGCGTTCTTTCTCTTGCACTTCGCTCTTTCTGTCCGACTAAATCTCCCTTGGCTGGCTTGAAGGGGAAACCAAGGGCGTTGGTCGCCTGTCCAAGGGGTCGCCTTGGTTTGTCACAGGTCCACTAAAATTCACATCTTGGCGGCTTCTTTTTTGACTGCCTATATCTTGAAGTTGTAGTCCCTCTTGGCTGACTTACAGCCATGGTAACTTGTGACCCACTTCTAAGAACGAGTAGGGTGAGCATGGAGTCTATTTGCATCTCATATGATGTCAACCAACAAGTTTCTTGCTGTTGGGGATACTGTTGGTGAAAAATGGCGTAATATGTTTGTAGGGTTTGGACATCCCTCCGCGCGCAGGATTTTGTTGTTCCATTTGGTTCTCCCTTTGGTTTCCCTTTAAACCCAGCAAACCAGAAAAGTGATGAAAAACCCGGGGCCCGAGCTTTCCTTTTGGGAGTCTTTGCTTCCCCACCTCTGGGGTCATTTTGACTGTTTCCGTTTTTTTTTTCAAGTCAGAAGATGTGGTGGTTTCCCTTTATATAAGCCACCAGATAGGGGGTGACTTTGATCACCTAGGTTCCGCAGTCGTGCCCTTTTACCAACTTTTTTGGTGTTTTGGGTCCCCCTAAAAAAATAGACAAAAATGCAAGCCACGACAACATCGGGTACCCTTCTTCTACCCTCTCCAATCTGGAGGACCTAGTTGTGGTGTCCTTTGCCACGATCCCCTGCGCGCTTGCCCCGCACGACGTCCCTTTTTTCCCAACGCTCGTCTGCTGGCGGCCCTAGTCATGGGTCAAAATTAAAGCACCAGGGCACTGCATGTGTTGGTCCATGTTTCCCTTTTGCCAGGGCAAGCCATTTGGGGGTTACCCTATTTCACACCCATTTGGTTGTTTTCAGGATCACCTTTTTGAGCTAGTTTCAAGGCAGGCTCACTTGAAGGTAGTTTCCACCTTCCATTTTTTAGCTGAAACTAGTGGAAACTTGAAACTAGTGGAAACTTGAAACTAGTGGAAACTTGAAACTAGTGGAAACCTCGCTAGTTTCAAGTGAGCTTCCTTTTGGCGAGGTAAGGCTGGCAATGGAAACCGCCAAATCGCTGACGGCTCCCGCGCGCCGCGGCCAGGAGCTGCAGCACGTGGCCCAGGTGCTGCGGTGCCGCTTCTCCGCGGACGGCTCGCTGGCCGGGGGCCCCTGGCGGAAGGGGCCCGGGACGTGGCCTGGGATTTGGGGCACTTGGGGTGTGGCCGAGGTGGCTTGTTGAGGTGGTGGTTTGCTGGTTTTTCTTTTTTTGTGTGTGTTTTTGTTGTTGTTTTATTGGTGCTGGGGGGGGCGGTAGGGGGATTCCAACGGGAATCCGTGAAGCTGTACTTTTGTTTGTGTTGGGTTAAAGGGAAACCAAGAAGGCAAACCGTTCAGGTAGTTTGGAGGGTCCGAGTCCAAGAACAAGACATCCCCATTTTTGCAGCACGCAGAATCAAAGAGCATTGAAACAAGGACCTGGAAACGGGGTCGGGTGCCCTTTGTCTCGTGTCGCGATTCCCTTTTCGCAAGCGCTCATGTGGTGAGGCGCTGACTTTGTGCGCCAACCACGCGGCCTTGGTGTGGCGTGTGCCAGATGGAGAGCTGGCGGGGGCCTGAAGACTGAACGCCCTCACTGGAGCTGGGACCCGGGCTGGCCTTGCTTGGAATGAACAGGTCGTTTGGCCCTGTTTGGTGCATCAAGGGAGGTTTTTTTGGAGGGAGAACCTAGGATTCCTTTCGAGGATCCCCAAAGACACGTTTGTGCGGACGGCAGGTCAACCCAGCGCCTTTGGCAGCGAAGGCAATCGCAATCTTGAGCACAATGGGTGGTTAGCCATGAAACTGGAGTTGCAGATCAGGGGAACGTGCAGGGGTCGTTCGCCGTGTGCTGTTGGCGAACGACCTGCTAGGTCCCCTCTGACCCTCAGCCTCGGCCAAGGTCCAATCTTTCTCTGGACACTCCGGCCCCGCACGGGCCCTGTGATCGAGTGCAAGCGGAAGGATTGCTTTCCTGCCTGCCAGATCCTGCCAGCATTTAAACCAAGGTGGCACGGTGGTACAGGCTTGCTCCGAATCTCTAGGTGAGAGTGGAAATTTGGTTAACCCTGATTGTTGTTTGCTGCGAGGTCCAAATATGTTTTCCTCGTTGTTGTCGTTGTCGTGCTGGCCCAGTTCTTCCATTTGCTTAAGAACATTGTTTATTTTCCCCTATTGGTTTTGAAAGGAATCTATCACTACTGGACATATTGTTATTCTTGCGCCAGGGGTCTTGACCAAATGGAACCCCATGTACTCTAGGGGTACCTTCCCCATTCTTTCCTGGCATCCTTCTTTCTAAAAAGACTTCCCAAATCCTGCAAAAAACAGCTGTTTTTGTTTAAGAATGATGGTTGAAAAGAATGGAAAAGAAATAACGCCTAGAGCTTTGGGAGAATTCATGGGGGCGCCGGGTTTCGTCCACATTTGTTTCTCTCAGCCCGCATGGATCGATGTGCGCCTAGAGTTCAAAATTTCCAGGTGACCTGCGGCAGCTTCAGCCCGGACGGCTTGCAGCTGATCACCGGCTCGGAGGACTGCCACGCTCGCGTTTGGGACGCCCGGCACCCGAGTCCTTTGCAGTCGTGGCATATTGCGGGCACGAATTGCATCAGGTGCAAAACTACCTCAAACTGCAGTAGAAAGGGACACCGTTGCCAAAAGTTTTTGTTTTTTTTTTAAGTCCCAAAGAATGATGAGAGCCCTACAAAGGGACACGTATGCCGAAAGCTACGTCGGCCTGATCCCATTCTGGTTTAGCGGGCTCCAGCCCACAATTTCCGGCCAGATCATTTGCAAACAAGTCAGTTGGGTTTGAAACTGATTGAACCTGGATGAAACCACCCCCGAAGCAAAATGTTCCGATTCCTTTTCTACAGGACGAGTTACTGTGCGACTAAAAGATGGCCGGGCCGCACGGTGTCTTGTTTTTCCTTGTCCGTTGCTAAACTCAGATTCTAAAGTCAGATACTGGCTGCGGCTATGGGGACTTGCGGGAGGTCCCAACCAATGGCTCTTTGCCGAGCCTGCACCCAAGCCTGATAAATGCCCTTGACCTAGGGGCAGAAAAGCGTGCAAATAGCATGGGAGGGCGAGAACAACGGCAGCCGAAAGCGGCGTCAGATGTACAAAATCAGGCCTGGAAAATGCCTGAGCTTACAATTGCGAGCGAATGAGGTTGCCTCGGGGCGCTGCACAGCTGTGCTGGCTGGCCATGAGGCGGGTGGGTGGGTGAGGCGACCCACCTTGGACGCAAGTTGTGGCATTCGACACGTTTCCCTAAATGTCCCGTTTTCGTTTGGTTTGAACATCACATCACCCTTGGGGCCAGTTGTCATCAGGTTGTTTTGTGGCGAGGTGATGTTTAAAGGGGGCATATAAGAACTAAGGAGCTCTGTTCGATTTGGGTGGTTTGGGGCAATGCACTCAGGGATCCCTGCAAGGGGAAGAAAGAGAAGCTCGCCATTGAAAGAAGCGGATCGTTCGGAAGCACGGGGTTTTCGCAGACGAACGGGTCCTATCTGGTACCTTTCCTGGAAAAGGCACGTGCCCCCTTGATCTGCAGGCCAGATTGGAAGCAGTGCGAATTTCACCATAGACCTGTAGCATCGGGAAGACCCCGCGGCTCAGCAGCAGATTTGGCTACATTTAATGTGCGGGTCAAACAACCGCGCGCGCTCGTAGCAATCTGCGAACTCTTTGGCGAAC